AGGGCTTTTCCATTTACCGTATAGTTCCCTCTTGAATTGGATCTTCCAAAATGCATCACCTCGCATTTGCCTGGATTGACCTCCACCTGCCATTTCTCCACCCAACTCTCCAATCTATCTATATTCTGCTGCATTTTCTGACAGTCCCCTTCATTATCTGCTACTCCACCAATCTTAGTGTCATCTGCAAACTTGTTAATCAGACCATCTATACCTTCCTCCAAATTATTTATGTATATCACAAACAACAGTGGTCCCAATACGGATCCCTGTGGAACACCACTGGTCACAGTTCTCCATTTTGAGAAACTCCCTTCCACTACAACTCTTTGTCTCCTGTTGCCCAGCCAGTTCTCTATCCATCTAGCTAGTACACCCTGGACCCCATGCAACTTCACTTTCTCCATCAGCCTACCATGGGGTACCTTATCAAACGCCTTAATGAAGTCCATGTATATGACATCTACAGCCCTTGCCTCATCTATCAACTTTGTCACTTCCTCAAAGAATTCTATCAAGTTGGTAAGACATGACCTTTCCTGCACAAAACCATGCTGCCTATCACTAATAAGCCCATTTTCTTCCAATTGTAAATAGATCCTATCCCTCAGTATCTTCTCCAGCAGCTTCCCCACCACTGACGTTAGGCTCACCGGTTTATAATTACCTGGATTATCCTTGCTACCCTTCTTAAACAAGGGGACAACATTAGCAATTCTCCAGTCCTCCGGGACCTCACATGTGCTCAAGGATGCTGCAAAGATATCTGTTAAGTACTCAGCTATTTCCTCTCTCACTTCCCTCAGTAAACTGGGATAGATCCCATCCGGACCTGGGGACTTGTCCACCCTAATGCCTTTTAGAATATCCAACACTTCCCCCCCCTCCTTATGCTGACTTGATCTAGAGTAATCAAACATCTGTCCCTAACCTCAACATCCGTCATGTCCCTCTCCTCAGTGAATACCAACGCAAAGTACTCATTAAGAATCTCATTCATTTTCTCTGACTCCTCGCATAACTTCCCTCCTTTGTCCTTGAGTGGGCCAACCCTTTCTCTAGTTACCCTCTTGCTCCTTATGTATGAATAAAAGGCTTTGGGATTTTCCTTAACCCTGTTTGCTAAAGATATTTCATGACCCCTTTTAGCCCCCTTAATTCCTCGTTTCAGATTGGTCCTACTTTCCCGATATTCTTCCAAAGCTTCACCTGTTTTCAGTCGCCTAGACCTTATGTATGCTTCCTTTTTCCTCTTTGCTAGTCTCACAATTTCACCTGTCATCCATGGTTCCCTAATCTTGCCCTTTCTAAGCCTCATTTTCACAGGGACATGTCTGTCCTGCACTCTAATCAACCTCTCTTTAAAGCCTCCCATATATCAAATGTGGATTTACCCTCAAACAGCTGCTCCCAATCCACATTCCCCAGCTCCTGCTGAATTTTGCTATAGTTGCCCTTCCCCCAATTCAGCACTCTTCCTTTAGGATCACTCTCATCTTTGTCCATCAGTATTCTAAAACTTACGGAATTGTGATCACTATTCCCAAAGTAATCCCCTAATGAAACTTCAACTACCTGGCTGGGCTCATTCCCCAACACCAGGTCCAGTATGGCCCCTTCCCGAGTTGGACTATTTACATACTGCTCTAGAAAACCCTCCTGGATGCTCCTTACAAATTCTGCTCCATCTAAACCCCTAACACTAAGTGAATCCCAGTCAATGTTGGGAAAATTAAAATCTCCCATCACCACCACCCTGTTGCTCCTACATCTTTCCATAATCTGTCTACATATTTGTACATCTATCTCATGCTCGCTGTTGGGAGGCCTGTAGTACAGCCCCAACATTGTTACCGCACCCTTCCTATTTCTGAGCTCTGCCCATATTGCCTCACTGCTCGAGTCCTCCATAGTGCCCTCCTTCAACACAGCTGTGATACCCTCTTTGACCAGTAATGCAACTCCTCCACCCCTTTTACCTCCCTCTCTATCCTGCCTGAAGCATCTATATCCTGGGATATTTAGTTGCCAATCTTGCCCTTCCCTCAACGAAGTCCCAGTAATAGCAATAACATCATAATCCCAGGTACTAATCCAAGCCCTAAGTTCATCTGCCTTACCTACTACACTTCTTGCATTAAAACAAATGCACCTCAGACCACCTGTCCCTTTGCGTTCATCATCTGCTCTCTGCCTACTCTTCCCCTTAGTCACACTGACTTCATTATCTAGTTCCTTACAGGCTTTAGTTACTACCTCCTTACTGTCCACTAACCTCCTCATTTGGTTCCCATCCCCCTGCCACATTAGTTTAAACCCTCCCCAACAGCGTTAGCAAAAGCAGCCCCTAGGACATTGGTTCCAGTCCTGCCCAGGTGTAGACCGTCCGATTTGTAATAGTCCCACCTCCCCCAGAAACGGTCCCAATGTCCCAAAAATCTGAACCCCTCCCTCCTGCACCATCTCTCAAGCCACTCATTTATCCTGCCTATTCTTTCATTTCTACTCTGACTAGCATGTGGAACTGGTAGCAATCCTGAGATTACTACCTCTGAGGTCCTACTTTTTAACTCGGCTCCTAACTCCCTAAATTCTGCTTATAGGACCTCATCCCATTTTTTACCTATATCATTGGTGCCTATATGTACCACGACAGCTGGTCCAGTGGGACAATGTCCCAGTGAATGGGGGTCTTTGGACAAGCTTGCTTAGACATCCTCCTTCCTCTTTTTTTCCACCCTGAGCATGCTTCCAGAAGCAGCAGCCCCAGTTCAACACCATTCCTACTATAGCACAATGAACATACCATGGGAGGATATTGCTGGGCAGGAGGTTGGGAATCACAAGATCAGGAAATGGCCTGCTTCTCACCTTGAGGATAAATTGAGCTGAAGTATTTGCGTGGCAAGTGGGGGAAATTCTCACTCAGGTTAATTTATGGATTTTATCTAGAATGGCTTATAACATTTGTAGATCTGGTAACTATTGGATTGGCCACATAGATGTCATGGTAACTAGGCCAGATCAGAGGCTGGATATTGAGTCGATGTCTCAACACCTAACTCCCCAAAGATTCTTTTACTTTAAAAGCACAAGTCAACTATGTGATGGAATATTTGCCAGTTCCCTGAATGATTGTCATTTCAACAACACTTTTGATCGTTTTATAATATTTGATTGGATTTAGTATTGTCACATGCACTGAGATACAGTGAAAAGTATTGTTTTGCTTGCATGGTGGCTCAGTGGTTAGCACTGCTGCCTCACAGTGCCAGGGATCCGGTTCGATTCCACCCTCGGGTGACCGTCTGTGTGGAGTTTGCATGTTCTCCCTGTGTCTGCGTAGGTTTCCTCTGGGTGCTCCGGTTTCCTCCCACAGTCCAAAGATGTGCAGGCTAGGTGGATTGGCCATGCTAAATTGCCCTTAGTGTTCAGGGAGGTGTAGATTAGGTGGGTTATGGGGAATGGATCTGGGGGGATGCTCTGAGGGTCGGTGTGGACTTGTTGGGCTGAAGGGCCAGTTTCCACACTGTAGGGATCCTATGATTCTATGAAATCATATCTAACAGAAGTATTTCAGGATAATACCACAGAATGCATAATATAGTGTTACAGCTATAGAGAGGGTGCAGAAACAGTCCTTAAATCTGTTGGTACATGTTTTCAAACTTTTGTTTCTTCTGTCCAATGGAAGCGGATGGACGAGTATAACTGGGACAACTTGAGACTCAACACACTTCAGGGCAATAAAACAGAAATTGCTGGAAAATCTCAGCAGGTCTGGCAGTATCTGTGGAAAGAAAGCAGAGTTTCTGGTCCAGTGACCCGTCTTCAGAACTGATGGTTGCTGGGAAAAGGACGGATTTTGTAAAGAAAGGGGGGGGGGGGGGGTGGGGGGGGGGCGGGGGGGTCGTGTAGGGGGAGTAAAGATAGGTAGAAATATAGCCCAAAGAGAGAGAAACACAGCTGGACAGACAAAAGAGTGGTTAAAGGTCAGTTTGGGGGAATGAGAAGCTACTAATGAGGACAGTTAGTGGTTGACAGTGGGTAAGATGTGGTAACAGCCAGTGTAATGACAAGGCTTGGTGTGAGGGTGGGGAAAGCGTGGAGAGAGGTGCTCAAGCCCTAAAATTGTTGAACTTAATATTAAGTCCTGAAGGGTGCAGGGATCCCAAGCGGAAAATGAGTTGCTGTTCTTCCAGCTTGCGCTGAGCTTCGCTGGAGCACTGCAGCGGAGATGTTGGCCAGGGAACAGGGTGGTGTGTTGAAGTGTCAGGCAACTGGAAGCTCAGGATCTTTTCTGCAGGCAGAACACAGGTATTCTGTGAAGTGGTCACCCGCTCAGATTTTCCAGCGATTTCTGTTTTTGTTTCAAATTTCCAGTATCTGCAGTTCTTTCGTTTTTTTGTTCACACTTCAGGGCAAAGTAGTCCCCTAGATCAACAGTCCACCCATCACCTTACAGTGCACCAGTGATGGACAAAATGGTTGTGTCTGTGTGTGCACCAGCTACAGGATGCGCTGCAACAATTTGCCAAGAGTTCTTTGACAACACCTCTCAAACATGCTATCTTTTAGAGGGCCAAGAGCAAGTAGGCGTTTGGAAACATCACCATCGCCAAGTTCCACTTCAAATCACACATAATTCTGACTAGGAAATGAATCAGTACAGTGCTGTTTTTGTCATAGCCGAGCCAAAATCCTGGAACTCCCTCCAAAACACTGGAGAACCTTGACAGCAATGATTCAAGAAAGAACCCACGACCAACACCACAAGGGAACTAATGATGGGGAATACATGCTGGCCTTACTAGAAATTCGGTATCTCAAGAACAAATTTTTAAAATCTGTGTTAGATTAAATTTGAACATAAGCCTTTTCTTACATTGCAAAAACATCTACTTTTCTCACTTTCCTTAAAAGATATATGTGATCTTAATAATTTTTTTTATTTTTCCAAGTTGAATTTTATTCTAACTTGATTTCACATGTCATGCTAGATCTGGGTGACCACTGTCAATCAAGCTGTGAAGGCTGGCACATTTTTCTGGCCTGTGTAAGTAATAGTTTTATTTAATTTCTTTCAACACCAAATGTATTAGTGGGCCAAAGGTGTCTTTAAATGACTAAATGATTAAATAAGTAAATTAAGTGAAATTAAAAATAGCACAGACATCTGTTGCTTTAGTGTTGTTGTTCTGTTGTATTGTTTTCTGTCCTGTTAGTTCAATTAGGTGAGTAAGGTATTTTGCCTCTATTCAGTTTTAATTTTACTGACATGCCAGGCTAAAAAGAACTATTTCATTCATCTTCTTGATGGCACACAGTAGCACTGACCACTACGTGTGTGACCCTTGGCACATTATGCCCCTTTGGAATTAGGCTTGTCTGCATGGCGTTGTTTTAAAGCTGCACAATGTGAACATATTTTTAGCCCTTTGTTTCACTTCCTAATATGATTGCAATTTACTTTAGTTTAACTCTGTTGTATGTCTTCTGTGACTCATCGTCTCTAACTTGATTGCTTTGCAGTCTGCCCACATTGTTTTGCTTGTTCTATTCTCAGATATTTGCAATCACTCTCTCCTCTGTCATTTCTCTGTTGCCCAAATAAGATAGAAATTGATCTTTGACCATATTTTGTGTCCAACCTCATGGTAACTGGATATTTTCCAGTAATTTACTTTAAAGCTAGGTGTAAAATCACGTTTTAAAAAATCTCTAAATGAAATGCAATGTGTTTTTTTTTGCTGGTTACAGTATCATTCCCCACGAGCAAAGGGTGTTCACAATACTTCAATGGCTGAAGTTGCCAGATAATGAAAGGTAAATATTACTTAGTAGTTTGTACTTTAAAGTTAACCTATGATTTTTTTTATTTGCTGAATTATAACTTTTACAATGAAATCAAAAATAATAAAACTGGCATTTCTTCACTTTGCATCATAAGAAACATGAAAGACATCTACGTGGCTAGTTTAATACTGAGGACCTTGTTATGAGCGTAAGGCTAAATTAAGGTAAAATAATCAATTTTTCTAAATAAATTGATTAATAGTAACAGGACTCTGTCCAGTTTTATGCAGTTCCAATTATAACAGTGAAAGAAGGATTAAGGGAATCAGTGGAGTAGCGGTATCATCACTGAACTAGAGATCCAGAGACTCAGGTCATTGTCCTGAGGGTGTGAGTTTGAATCCAATCACAGTAGATAGAGAAATTTGAATTTAATTGGAATTAAAAGCTTATCTGATGGAGATCATGAACCATTGTTGATGGTGTCAAAACAACCATCCGGATGACTAATAGTCAACACAGTATGGAGCTGGAGGAACACAGCAGGTCACAAAACATCAGCTTTCCTGTTCCTCTGATGCTGCCTGACCTGCTGTGTTCCTCCAGCTCCATACTGTGTTGTCTATTATTTTGGGCAGCATGGTGACTCAGTGGTTAGCACTGCTGCCTCACAGCGTTGTCCAGGGTTTGATTCCACCCTCGGGTAACCGTCTGTGTGGAGTTTGCACATTCTCCCTGTGTCTGTGTGGGTTTCCTCTGGGTGCTCCGGTTTCCTCCCACAGTCCAAAGATGCGCAGGCTAGGTGCATTGGCCATGCTAAATTTCCCGTAGTGTTCAGGGATGTGTAGATCAGGTGGGTTGTACGGAGATGGGCCTTGGTGGGGTGCTCTGAGGGTCGGTGTGGACTTGTTGGGCCGAAGGGCCTGTTTCCACACTGTAGGGATTCTATATGGTGTTGTCCCCACCTCCACCATCTGTAGTTCTTGCTATCATCTGGATGATTAACGCCCTTTGTATAAAAAAAAACTGCCGCCCTTACCCTCATGCAACTCTGCATCCGTGGTAATTTGATTGACTCTGACTCTTAATAACTCTGTGAAATGGCCTAGCTTGCCATTCATTTGTAGCTAAGTATGACCAAGCCTAAATACAGGTATGAAACTGAACGGACACCCCAGAAACAATCAAGGTACTGAAAGTAACAATAGCACACATATCCCTGTGGATTCTGTGCTGCCCTCTTTATCACCTGGAGGCTTGTGCCAGTATTGGGAGGGCTGTCTCACAGACTAGTCAAGTAACAGCCTGACATTATCTGTAATGATTCCATGAGTATGACTATGTCCCAGACACCACCGTCACCATCACTGGATATGTCCTGTTGCACTGGCAGAATGGATCCAGCAGAAGTGGCATCACAACGGTATACATTTGTGAGGAAACTGCCTTTGCATTCCTCAACATTGACTCTGAATACCATGAAGTCTCATGGTATCAGTCAAACAGTAGCATGGAAACCTTCTGCTGATTACCATCTACCACACCCCTCCGTTGATGAATCAGTTTCCCTTGATATTGAACACCACTTGGAAACATAGAAACATATGAACTTAGATAATAGGAACAGGAGGAGGCCATTCGGCCCTTTGAGCCTGCTCCGCCATTCTTCACGATCATGGCTGATCATCCAACTCAATAGCCTAATCCTGCTTTCTCCCATAACGCTTGATCCCATTCGCCCCAAGTGCTATATCTAGTCGCCTCTGGAATACATTCAATGTTTTGGCATCAACTACTTCCTGTGGTAATGAATTCCACAGACTCACTATCTTTGGGTGAAGAAATGTCTCCTCATCTCCGTCCTAAATCATCTACCCCGAATCCTCGTCCTGTGACACACCCACCATCGGGAACACCCTCGCTGCATTTTATAAGTCTCTATGAGATCCCTCCTCATTTGTCCAAACTCCAGCGAAAACAATCCTAACCTAGTCAATTCCTCTTCATATGTTAGACCCGCCATCCCCCGAATCAGCCTGGTAAATCTTCACTGCACTCCCTCGAGAGCAAGAGCATCCTTCCTTAGAAAAGGAGACCAAAACTGCACACAACGTTCTAGGTGTGGCCTCACCAAGGCCCTGTACAACTGTAACAACACATCCCTGCTCCTGAACTCGAAACCTCTCGCAATGAAGGCCAACATACCATTTGCCTTCTTTACCGCCTACTGCACCTGCATGCTTACCTTCAGCGGCTGGTGCACAAGAACACCCAGATCCTGCTGCACACTCCCCTCTCCCAATTTACAGCCATTCAGGTAGTAATCTGCCTTCTTGGTTTTGCTTTCAACGTGAATAACCTCACATTTATCCCAATTATACTGCATCTGCCATTGATTTGCCCACTAACCCAACCTGTCCAGATCATGCTGAAGGATCTCTGCATCCTTATCACAGTTCACCCTCCCAGCCAACTTGGTATCATCTGCAAACTTGGTGATGTTACATTTTGTTCCCTCATCCAAATCATTAATACATATTGTGAATAGCTGGGGTCCCAGCACCGATCCCTGTGGCACCCCACTAGCCAACGCCAATTTGAAAAGGTCCCATTAATTCCTACTCACTGTTTCCTCTCTACCAACCAGTTTCCTGTCCATCTCAATACACTTCCCCCAAACCAGTGCACTTTTGGAGGGTGGCATTGAGGGTGGCAAGCAAATGGAATGTACAGTGGGTGGGGAACTTAAGTTTCCATTACAAAGAGTGGTACAGCAGTACCACTGCTGACAAAGCTGCCCCAATCCTAAAGGATAAGCTATTAGACTGGGGCTGTTGCAGGTGGTAAAGAACTGACAAAAGGGAAAAAATACTTGACCTCATCCTCTTCAATTTACCTGTAGCAGACATATCTATATATGACCACCTGAGTAGGATTGATTACCACCCAGACCTTGGATAAAGATACACTTCATCATGTCGAGTGGCACTACCATTTGGTGCTGAATAGGATACATTTCAAACAGGGACATCCATGCTGCCTGTGGACCATCAACAGGAATAGCATTGCATTCAACCACCGTCCGTGATCTCATGACCTGGCATAACCCCACTGCACCATTAGAATCAAGCAAGGGGATCATCCCTGGTTCAATGAAGAGTTTAGGAGGACATGCAAAGAGTAGCACCAGGCAAACCAATGAAATGAGGTGTCATCCTGGTGAAGCTACAGCACAGGACAACTTGCTGGTCAAACAGTGTAAGCAACAGGTACTAAATCTAAGGGATAGCATAACCAGCAGATAAAATCTAAGACCTGGAGTCTTGTCACAGTCAATTGTGAATGGTGTTGGACAATAAAAAAGTCCTTACAGCAGGAGGATCCACAAATATCTTCACCCTGAATGATGAAGAAGCCCACCACATCAGAACAAAATTTAAAAACTAAAGCATTTGCACCATCTTGATGATCCATCTCGGCTCTCTCCTGAGGTGCCCAGTATGATGGAAGCCAGTCTTCAGCCAATTCAGTTTACTCCATGTGATATCAAGAAGGAGCTGAAAGCACAGTGAACTGTTCTGGACCCAGATACCATTCTGGAAATAGCAAAACTGTTCCAGCACAATTAGAGCACTGGTGTCTATCTGGCAATGTGAAAAATTGTTCACATATGTCCTGCCCACTGAAAGCAGGACAAATTCAAACAGGTGTAACACCGCTCCATCAGTCTACTCCACGTCATCAGTAAAGGGATGTAAAGTGTCATTAACAGTGCTGTTAGTTGCCATGTACTCAACATTAACTTGCTCACTGCTCAATTTGGCTTCCACCATACCCACTCAACTCCTGACTTCATACAAGTTTGGTCCAAACATGGAAAGAAGAGCTGAACTCAAGGGGGAATGACTGTGGCTGCCCTTGACATTAGTTGGTCAAATGTGGCATCAAGGAGTCCCAGAAAAGCTGGAGCCAGTTGGAATTGGGGTAGACTCTTCACTGGTTTGAGTCATACTTAGCATAAAGGCAAATGTTTGTAGTTGTTGTGGCCAGTCTTCTCAACCATAGAATACCTTTACAGGAGGCTCTCGGGGTAATGTCTGAGGCTGAACTATCTTCAGCTGCTTTGTCATTGATCTTCCCTCCATCATATGGCCAAAGCTGGAGGTGTACACTGACGATTGCACAATACTTAAGTACTCCTTGTCACAATGCAATAAAGGTTGGACAGCATTCAGGCTTAGACTGATGAATCACATTCATCCCACTCAAATTCCAGGCAATGACCATCTCCAAAAAAGAGAATTCAACAATTTCCCCTTGACATTCAATGGCACTATCATCACTGTGTTCCCCACTATCAGGGGGAGGCGATGGCCTAGTGGTATCATCGCTGGACTGTTAATCCAGAGACCCAGATAATGGGTTTGAATCCCGCCACGGCAGATGGTGGAATTTGAATTCAATAAATATCTGAAATTAAGAATCTAATTATGACCATGAATCCATTGTCGGGAAAAACCCATCTGGTTCACTAATGCCCTTTAGGGAAAGAAACTGCCATCCTTACCTGGTCTACATGTGACTCCGGACCCACAGCAAAGTGATTGACTCTTAACTGCCCTCTGGGCAATTAGGGATGGGCAACAAATGCTGCCTGGCCAGTGATGTCCTCATTCCATGAATGAATAAAGGAACATCCTGGAGCACCATTAAGCAGAAACTGAACTGGACCAGCTCTGGATACTATTACAGGTCAAAGACTGGGAATCCTGCAATATGTAATCCCAGTCCTGACTCAACAAAGTCTATCCACCACCTACAAGGCACAAGTGAGGAATGTGATGGAATTTGCCTGGATAAGTTTACCTCCAGGAGTTCCGCACCATCCAGGACAAGGCAGCCCATTTAATTTTCACTCAATCTAACACATTCAAAGTTCACTGTCTTCACCACCAGTGTATACTGACAGCTGTGTGTATCATCAACAAAATGTACTGCAACAATTCTTAAAGTTTTGCCCAGCAGCACCTTCCAAACCCATGTACTCTACTTCTAAAAAGACAAAGGCAGCAGACTCATGGTAACATTCCCATCTACAAGTTCCCTTCCAAGCCACACACCATCCTGACTTGGATCTAAATCACCATTCCTTCACTGTTGCTGGGTAAAAATCTTGAAAATTCTCCCTAACAGCACTGGGGTGTACCTACACTGCATGATCTGCAGATGTTGATTACCATCTCCTTAAGGATAATTATGAATGAGTAATAAATGTTGGCCCTGCCAGCAATGACCCACATCTCATAAATGAATAAAATATAGACTTGTCTTCCCCCTTTACACTGCCCAGAGATTTCCTGGAAACCATTTGATCAGTGATGGTGGGGGCATTTTGAGAGCAAAGTGTTGGTGTTGCATTCAAGGAAGGTGTGGCTAATAATAAACAAAATCATGAGAAATTTAAAAAGCCTAGTTGATAATGAAAAAGGAAATCTTGAAAATAAAAAGGGTATTTGTGAAAATTCTAGCTGGCAATGTGAAAGAAAACGGATGTGAGGAAGGAATGTGATACTGGACTTATATTAATTATGGCAAAGCAAAGTTAAAAGGAAATTTGATAAAGTGCTTTTAAATAAAACTATGAGAGCTTGATAAGAATGAATACAGAAATATATTCCCTCTGGTTGGTGAGTTAGTAATAAACGTTCATCAATTTAAAATTAAAACTTAACAATTCAGGAGCAAGTTTAGGAAAAATTTCCTTACATACAGTGTTATTGAGGTATCGAATGGTTAAGGCAGATATCTTTCCACCTGTTACCGGAGAACTGGATGAGTATGTGAAGCATACTTGGCTCCTGGGTAAAAGTATGGCAGTTATATTAATTTTCATCTGCTGGAGCAGAATGTCAACACTGATATGAAGAACTGAATGACCTCTTGCTGTCTTGTAAAATATTTTTTGGTTTTATGTTTCCACTTCAAGTTTGGGATAACTAGTTCTTTGAATGCTTATTGTTACCATCTCATCTGAATCACTTAACTGTTATCAATTCTCGTAAAGTAGAAATGTTGATAATTCATCTTCATTATAATGCATCTGTCATCAGTGTTGGTGCTGTAAATAATGTCAAATAATCAGATTAGATACAGTGTTAGAGGCTACCCTTCTGGAATGAATGATACAACTATACTGTAAAAAGAAAGTAAAATATTTCTGCATTGTTTGTCAGTACAGATTTTCCTCTCTATCGATGAAGATAGAGTGTGGAACCCGCTCAAAAGTAATGCCAAATACTGACAGTTTTACAGGCATGCTTTTTGTGCCTTTAGCTGCTCTTGGGACCTGACCTACAAAATACATTCTGTGATTTATATAGCACCCAGGACATAAGGTATTCTTTCTAAAGAGATTCTGCAATAGAAATGCTGCACAACTTAGAAGACATCAAAGATTAAACTGTGCCATTAATCTATTAATTACGTTATTTATCGAAACAAATAGCCTACTCAGTACTATTCCCTACTCTCCCATCATTCTTGCTAAATGGATGGGTTGGTTAGTGGGACCAAACAAGGAGTTCCAGTAAGTGAATGTTGTTGTTTCCCTGGATTTATTTTTAGATTATGCAATGTATTAGTGTGTGGACTGACTCATGTACTGGCAGCCACATTGAAGACGATAGACTAGAGAACTGTGTGCCTTAGAGAAGTAAAGGCTGAGAGGAGATTTGGTAGGGTTTTCAAAATCATGAGGGCTTTGGATAGAGCAGATAGGGAGAAACTATTCCGACTCGTAAAAGGATTAAGAACCAGAGACTTTAGTTTTCAAGTATTTTACAAAAGAAGCAAGAGAAAACTTTTCACAAAGCGAGTGGTTTGGATTTGGAGTGCAGTGTCTGGTAGTGTGGTGGAGGCAGGTTCGATTGAGGCATTCAAGAGGGCACTGGATGATTGTTTCCTTTTCAATAATGAGCTGGGCACCAAATCAAAAGGCTCTGAGAGCTGGTGTGGAAATGATGGGCTGAATGGCCTCCTACACTGTACTAATTCTTTGAGATATATCATGAAATCATCTTGGTGTTCTAAAATATGGTATTTATGAATTTGATAGAAATTGTGATCAAGAAAATCTTCACTAACAATTGTTAGGACTGTTGTTCTGAACTTCTCTCTATTTTCTAATTTATTCCTACGATCTGTACTGCAGGACGCTTTTTTTTATTTTTCTAACTTTTTTTCTAAGAAGTTGTACTGAAGAATCTGTACCTAGGTATCTTGTACCTAAGATAGTGCTGTAATATGGCAAATTGTAAATTTTTTACTACTCACTTGAGTACGTGACAATAAAGCTAATTCAAAGTTAATGATTAGGTACACACAGTGACATTTGGCAACATATTGTTTTTGAAGAAGTTTAAATTTCTTACTCTCCTTTAAAGTGTGTAATAATATTTGATCATTTTTCTCAGCTGATTATAATCTGCCTCAGGATATGTGACCTTTTGGCTTAATATATAAATAATTATTTTTCTGTCTTGTACCTTTGTTGCACTATTTTGCCTCGTTACTAATATCAATAAAGATAACCTTGAATATTTGGATCAGATTGACTTTCCATTAATTTCTCCTCTGACTCTCTGCCTATCTAACACACATCTAATGATAGAGAGCAGAAAATCTTGGAAACATGCAGTAAATTAGTCAACAGATATAAAGGGGTAAAGCAGACTATGAACTGTGTAGAATTTTCCCTGTACTGATGAAGGACTCTTTTGATTACCTAATGCTGATAAGGTCTCCTCAAAGGGTGATGGTGTCAACACTTGCAGTGAGTGTATCAGTATTTGCAGGTTTTCTCCCTGACAATATTTGAAAGAAAAACAATTTAAGAGAGTAGAACAAAGATGAGAAGTATATGCATTGGATTGTTTGATTGTGTAATTGTAAAAATTGTTCAAATGGTAATTGTTGAAAACCCAAATTTCTGAGGAACTTACTAGTCCTACCACAATGCAAAAAGATATGTGTGCTTGCAGTGACGTGGGGACAGAGAGTTCCAGGACAATGTGGGTAAAGAGATCAATAGCTGGATAGTTAAGATGTAAGAAAATTGACACATTCAATATCAACTTCCGCCGTTTAAACATTTGACAGAAGCTCCACTAGTAAAGAAAACATAACCAGATTCAAACAAAAAATATTCACTGTCTTAACACTTGCTTCAATTTTAGGCCCTATGTCTATGCCTTCTATTCAGAGCAACCAGATGGTTACGGTCACAGATTTGGACCATTCAGCTCCGAGGTTAGTAAAGCATATTAATATTAGGTTGGGGAACTCATGGAGTTCAACCTTTCCATATGTGTAACACCTGTTCCTTGTGCTACTGAGAGAAATGAATTGCTAATGTCAACCAGATGTTGTGGTTTTCTCGAAAAAAGCTTTTTTTGTTCTTGCTTGCTCCATGGTGGCTTTCCAAAGGTCCTGATTGCATAAAAAGGTAGTAGTAGGATATGCTGACCATGTACATCAGTTTGAGGATAGTCTGAGAATTAAGCAATCATATTCTGATTTCCTCTTTCTCAATAATTATCCATTTTTATTAAGCTCTTAATGTAATATACTGTACCTCTTATGATTAAATATTGTGCTATATTTGTGCAACACGCTTGATGAATCTTACTGCTTGCCAGGCCAGGAAGGACTATTAATTGAGGACGGTAAATTTCATATTACTGTTGGTGGGGATTTTCAAATGTTGGCTTTTTCCATTTCTCACTTTATAAGTAGGCAACCTGCAATTGGAAATTGGGGACGGGGGCTTAGGGGAGGCACTGCTGTTAACACACTGGTGCTGAAGATTTATTTGATACAAAAATCTGGCAATTTATTTTTCCTTAAAAATAAACTATAATAAATTGAAGTGACTGGCTCCTGGTCAAATTCATTTTACTGATACATTTTCAAAGATTGAATGTGAACGCTGTATAAAAATGAATGAAAAGATTCATATTTATAAAATTATATTCATATCCTCAGGGCAGACTAAATAACTTCACAGTCAGTTCAGTACTTTTGAAGTGCAGACCTGTTGTAGTGTAGCTAGATTCTAATTGTAATACTCAGGGATGATATTGCACACCTCTGGAACAGTTGGGACTTGAATCTAAGTCTCCCAGCTCAGAAATAGGGACACTGCCACTGCACCACAGGATCCCTTCCTCTTGTAGTGTAGGTGATCCCCATACAAGATTCCACATTCAGCAATGAGGCAAATGATGAAATGATCCAGTTTTTGATTGAGGGATAAAGGTAGACCAGTCCAGCAGGAGGGATTTTCTACAGTTCTTTGAATATACCATAAGATCAGTTCCACCTGGCTCAGAGGGCAGATCGGGCAGTATAATACTGAGGGAGTGGCTGCACTTTAGCAGCTAACATTTTTGAGTGGCTATTCAATTGACTGTAATAGATTCTGTGATTATTTGAAGAAGCTGTGTTTTCCACGTGTTCAAATTGGCTTCCACATTTCCTTATATCAGTGATTGTGACAGGAATTTTTCTTGAAGGCACCAGTTCTGCTGATTGGCTGAAATGTCAGGTACTAGCCTGAAAGCATGATCAGATTTATCAGTTGCCAGGCACTTAACTTCCATAATTTAACTTCCCTGTTTCTGGCTGTTCTGATAGCTGGCAGTCATCCTGTCTCAGCAGCATTAGGATTAGTGGAAATATCATGATAGGATTGAGGACTCTTGTGGTACAACGATATCACACAAGGAAATCACATTTGGCAAACCTGTTATCTATTCTGCTAGTTATATCCTCAGAATTCTAAGAGGGAAATGGTAGATGTGATATATTTAGACTTTAAGAAAGCTATTGATAAGGTCCCATGCAAAAATATAGTAAACAAAACTAGAATACATATGACTTTAGGGAACGTACTGGCATGGCTTGTGAACTGGTTAGTGGTCAGAAATCAGATAATTAGAATAAATGGGTCCTTTTCAGATTGGCAGTCCATAACAATGGGTACTGCAAGGGTTTCATCAAGTCATAATACAAGTCAGTGATTTGGAAGTTTGGATTACATGTAATATTTCTAAATTTTTAGTTTACACAAAACTAGTTGGAAGTTTGAGGTGTGAGCAGAATATAAAGATAATTTAAGGGGATTTGGGGAGGCTAAGTGAGTGTGTAAAACGTTTGGCAGATAGAATACAATATGGAAAAATGTGAGATTAACAACTTTGGTCTGAAAAACAGAAGCATGGAGTGTTTCTTAAGCGTAAGTGGTAGGGGAGTGTTTAACATCAAAGGACCTTCTTGTTCATGAAGTACTGAAAGTGAACATGCGGATATAAGCAATTAAGTAGGCAAATTGCTTCTAATACAAGAAAGTTTGTGAAGAGGAGTAAAGATGTCTTGCTGAAGGTATAAAGAACCTTAGTGAGGCAATCCATGGAAATGTTGTGTACAGTTTTGGTTTCCTTAACAGTGGAAAAGTGTACTTGGCAATGAGAGAGTGCAGTAAAAGTTCATCAAGTTAATTCATGGCATGGATGAATTGTCCTATGAGGAAGGATTAAATAAACTGCAAGTTTAGAAGATGAGAGATGATCAGATTCAAATATACAAAACTCATGCAGTGCTGAAGAATTAGATGCAGAATTGATGTTTTCCCTGCGTTGAGGGTCTAAAACCAGAGGACAGTCTTAGAAAAAGGAGGAGGCTGTTTAGAACTGAGATGAAAAGGAATTCCTTCTTTCAGCAGGCGAGGAATCTTTGGAATGTTCTGCCACTGAGGGCTGTGACAACCCAATTGTTGAATATGTTCAAGACTGCGATCAATGGATTTCTACATATTAAAAACATCAAACGATACGGGGATAGTGCAGGAAGATGGTGTTGAATTAGAAGATTTTCCATGATCTCATTGAATAACGGGGTGTATTTGATGGGCTGAATGGCCTTCTCTTACTCCTATTTTTATGTTCTTATGCACCTAATTGCTTGAAGGATGAGCAGACTGCCCAATATCCGTCCCTCTGGTGACAGAGAACCAGCAAAAGTGGGTAGGTAACAAGGTGTAGAGCTGGATGAACACATCAGGCCAAGCAGCATCAGAGGAGCAGGAAAGCTGACGTTTCGGGTCTAGATCCTTCTTCAGAAAGGTGCTGGGCACCTAGGTGATGGGCACAGCCTCCCATCCCTTCCACATGATTTAATTGCCTCAGCTCACCTTGCAGCCCACTCCGCGGGGCAGGCATAGCATTCTGGCCTGCATTTCAAAAATAATTTGTTACTTGTGAAGCCCTGAGGTAATGAGAGATATTGCACAAATACAAGAAAATTAAATTGGTCTTAACTAGAAGCACAAAACAGCTCCATTTAGTGTAGTTGAGTAGTTTCTGTTGAGGTCAATCAAAAAAACGATAATGGAAAAGAAAGTCAGGCAAGGTGTAAAATGAGCTAAGCTTGCTTTCCCCTCCTGGCTACAATCAATTTCATCTCCGGTTCTATCTTCGGTTATTTTCAAGTCATCAGTTCATTGGTACCACCACGTTTAATTTTTAATGTTTAAGTGAAGTTGACTTATTTTCTGTTTATTCATTTCTGTGAGTGAAGGATACAGTTAGGTTGAGCTGACCCAGAGCTGGAAGCTATCTGAGAACCACCACATAAAAGATAAACTTGCTGACGTAACAATACATTCGTGTTCGTGGTATTGAGTGAGAGATGGATGTTACCCATGACAATGTGACACTTGGCTTCCTCTTCTTTGAGCAGAACAGTCGCTCACTCTCTGGGATTACCATCGAGTATCCAGGAATTGAAGATTACTCTCCAAAACGGAGATGTGAGCATTCAGGAAGGAAAGGTCATAGAAACAATAATGAAATGACTTTAATCACTTTGAGCAACTTGTTCATCATAAAGTAATTGGATAATGGCGAAATAGTGATTTACTGCGCAGGGCAGCTGGAAGGATGAGGCCTTGTGTTTAAATCTCTGAAAAGCATTCAACTAAAGTGAAAAACTTTATTGCTTGAGGGATCTTAAAGCCTTAAGATTCACCTTAATCATCAAAGCAGACAGTGTAGTCTCATTAATAGGAATTATTGTTAATGATATAAAAGAAGAGGATTCTGGGTAATCCAAGACAGGCAATGTGAAAAAGTTTGTAGCTGTAAGAGCTGCTCCTTTTTTGAGGTATTTTCAATGTTGGAGCTGATTTCCTCATTCTAGGAGTGGTAATTACTGTTTTATAAGCTGTTGCATTGTTTTGGAACTTTGGGGGGAAAAAAGATCAAAACAATGACACTTTAAGAAAGGAGGAAGGGAGACAAAGGTAGTGACCACATGGTGGGAAGTGAACGAACAGAGAGAGAAACCTACACTGCTGTCTGACCCAGCAGTGAACCTTCACAGCTACTGCCTCTGCTGTTTGATTTCAAGTACCTCCGGACATCGAGTTCGTCTAAGAAAAATAAACAAACAGCAAAATTCACAGCTGACCTTGGAGAAATCTGGATGGAGAGATCACAGTAGGGGAGCAGCTATGTGATTAGCTTTTTTGTAAATCTAAAATAGTGAGCAGAGTGGGTTCTTTTTGATTGCATGTTTTTATTGACATCTGTCTCTTCATTAAACTTTAAAAAATAAAAAACAGAGGTATTAAGTTAACCTGAGCAGTGCTTTTAGAGCAGTAAGACTGTGCTATTTTCCGGGTCTGCAGATTAAAGTGCAAAGATGGTCTTTCATAGAATGATGTGCTCTTCCTGTTGGATGTGGGATACTAGGAAGAGTTTCCATGTTACTGATGATTAGGTCTGCAAGAAGTGTGCATGGCTGCGAATCCTATCGGATCACATGGATCTGTTGGAACAGCAGTCAGAGGCAATGAGGAATTTACAGGAGTTAAGGGTATGATGGATGGCAGTTGCAGGGAGGGAGATAAACTGAAGATCTAGGTCAGGCAGAAAAGGTAGGAGACGGAGGCAGGTCGTGCAGAAGTCTCCTGTGGCTATCTCCTTCTCAAACAAATAGCTGTTTTGGGAAATGTAGGAGGTGACGAACTCTCAGGGGAATGTAGCACTGACAGCCAGCTTTCTGGTACAGAGACTGACTCTAATGTAACGAGGGGTCCACCAGGTTCTAAGCAACTAATTGTGATAGGGGACTCTCTAGTCAGAGGTACAGATAGACATTTCTGTGGCCGGCAGCAAGACATTAGAATGGTGTGTTGCTTCCCTGGTGCCAGGATTGAGGAAATCTCAGAGAGGGTGCAGAATATTCTCAAAGGCGAGAGAGACCAGCAGGACGTTGTTGTACACATTGGAACGAATGACATCAGAAGAGATAAGGAATGAGATTCTGAGGAAAGGAAAGAGGAAGTTAGGAAGGAATTTAGAAAGGAGGTCCTGGAGGGTAGTAATATCTGGATTACTCCCTGTGCCACAAGCTAGTGTGGGTAGGAATAAGAGGCTAGAGTAGATGAATGTGTGACTGAAAACTGGTGCAGGGGCGAAGGATTCACATTTTTGGATCATTGAAATCTCTTCTGGGTTAGAAGTGACCTGTGTAAGAAGGATGGATTGCACCTGAATTAGAAGACGACTAATATGCTGGCAGGGAGATTTGCTCGAGCTGCTCGGGAGGATTTAAACTAGTGAGGGGAGGGGAAATCCCAGGGAGATAGTGAGGAAAGAGATCAGTCTGAGACTGATACAATTGGGCAAAGGAGTAAGTCAGTCAGTCAGGGCGGGCAGGAACAAAGCAGAGAACGAGGTAGGACTGATAAATAAAACTGCATTTATTTCAATGCAAGAGGCCTAACAGGTAAGGCAGATGAACTCAGGGCATAGTTGGGAACATGGGACTGGGATATCATGGCAATTACAGAGACAGGGATGGACAAGACTGGCAGCTTAATGCCCAGGGCATAGATGCTATGAGAGGGATAGAAAGGGGAGCAAGGGAGGAGGGGGAATGGCGTTTTTGATTAAGGATAACATTACTGCTGTACTTAGGGAGGACATTCCTGGGAATATGTCTAGGGAAGTTATTTGGGTGGAACTGAGAAATAAGAAGGGATGATCACCTTATTGGGATTATACTATAGCCCCCCCGCCATGAGTCAGCGGGAAATGGACAAACAAATTTGTAAGAAGGTCTCAATTATCTGTAAGAACAATAGGATGGTTATGGCAGGGAATTTTAACTTACCAAACATGGACTGGGATTGCCATAGTGTTAAGGGCTTGGAGAGGAATTTGTTAAGTGTGCACAAGAAAATTTTCTGATTCATGTTGTAGATGTACCTACTCTTGGGAAATAAGGCAGGGCAGGTGACTCAGGTGTCAGTGGGGGTGTCAGTGGGGGAGCACTTTGGGACCAGTGACCATAATTCTATTAGTTTTAAAATAGTGATGGAAAAGGATAGATCAGATCTAAAAGTTAAAGTTCTAAATTGGAGAAAGGCCAATTTTGACGGTATTAGGCAAGAACTTTCAATAATTGATTGGGGATGGATGTTCGGAGGGGAAGGGACGGCTGGAAAATGGAAAGCCTTCAAAAATGAGACAACGAGAGTCCAGAAACAGTATGTTCCTGTTGGGATGAAGGGCAAGGCTGGTAGGTGTAGGGAGTGCTGGGTGGTTAGAGAAATCAAGGTTTTGGTCAAGAAAAAGAAGGAAGCATATATTTTAGACAGCAGGGATCGAGTCAATCCCTGCAAGAGTATAAAGGCAGTACTTAAGAGGGAAATCAGGAGGGCAAAACAGGGACATAAAATAACTTTGGCAAATAGGGTTAAGGAGAATCCAAAGGGATTCTACAAATACATTAAGGACAAAAGGGTAACTAGGGAGAGAATAGGGCCCCTTAAAGATTAGCAAGGCCGCCTACGTGTGGAACCGCAGGAGGTGGGTGAGATACTAAATGAGTATTTTGCATCAGTGTTTACTGTGGAGAAGGATATGGAAGATATAGAACATGTAGAAATAAATAGTGACATCTTGAAAGATGTTCATATTACAGAGGAGGAGGTGCTGGATGTCTTAAAATGCATAAAGGTAGATAAATCCCTGGGACCTGATCAGGTGTACCCTGGAACTCTATGGGAAGCTAGGGAAGTGATTGCTGGGCCCCTTGCTAAGATATTTGAATCTTTGACAGCCACAGACATGGTGGTGGAAGACTGGAGCTTGGCTAATGTTGTGCCACTGTTTAAGAAGGGTGGTAAGGAGAAGCCAGGGAACTATAGACCGGTAAGCCTGACATTGGTGGTGGGCAAGTTGTTGGAGGGAATCCTGAAGGACAGGATTTACATGTGTTTAGAAAGGCAAGGACTGGTTATGGATAGTTAACATGGCTTTTGCCTGTCTCACTAACTTGATTGAGTTTTTTAAAGAAGTAACAAAGAAGATTGATGAGGGCAGAGTCATGGATGTGATCTATATGGACTTCAGTAAGGCATTCAACAAGGTTCCTCATGGTGGACTGGTTAGCGAGGTTAGATCACATAGAATACAGGGAGAGCTAGCCTTATGGATACGTAACTGGCTCAAAGGTAGAAGACAGAGGATAGTATTGGAGGATTGCTTTTCAGACTGGAGGCCTGTGACCAGCAGTGTGCCACAAGGATCGGTGCTTGCTCCACTGCTTTTTGTCATATATTTAAATGATTTAGATGTGAACATAGGAGGACTGGTTAGTAAGTTTGCAGATGACGCTAAAATTGGAGGTGTAGTGGATCGTGAAGAAGGTTACCTTAGAGTACAATGGGATCTTGATCAGATGGGCCAATGGGCCGAGGAGTGGCAGATAAAGTTTAATTTAGATAAATGTGAGATGCTGCATTTTGGAAAGACAAATCAGGGCAGGACTTATATACTTATTTCTAAGGTCTTGGGGAGTGTTGCTGAATGAAGAGATGTTGGAGTGCAGGTTCATAGTTCCTTGAAAGTAGAGTTGCAGGTAGAAGGCATTTGGTATACTTGCCTTTCTTGGTCATTGCATTGAGTGAAGGGTCTGTTTCCATACTGTACATCTCTATGACTGTATGACTCTATGACTCTAACTTGTTTGAATAGTGACTTTTAGTAATGATTGACTGCTTGGGATTAATCTCAATTTACGGACTTTAAAAGTTGTGGTTGAATTCAGTGCAGCTTTGGATTATGTGTGGTGCTTTTGGTTTATTTCCTTATGGAAGGAGTCTCAGGTGGTCTTCCATCCTGTGCGATGATGGTTTGCGTCTTGGTGGTCAATTCTATGTTAAAAATTGCCTGGTATGACTCAGGCACACTGCTGAGGTGTGGCAGTCTTTGTCACATTTGCTGCAGAGGAAGACACTGAGCTGAAAAAAAGGGCAGGGTTTACTGCTCTCTGTTTTCTCTTGGCTTCCTAATCCGCTGAGCTGTTCTTTTCTGTTCGTCTTGTGTGAGGCCCCTCCAAACAGTCCAGACGTCACGTTCACTAGCGGTTGTCTCCCATTTGTCCACAACGATGTCGATCATGTTCACATCTTTCTTGTAGGTAATAGAGATCCACCAGGTAATGACCCGAAGGGCAGTTCATCGTAGAGAAGGTCTTTAGGTATACAACCATCATCAGTCTGATGAATTTGCCCGAAAAACCACAGGTGATGTCAGCTTAGCAATGAGTGTAGTTATTTTTAGTCAACTTGTTCGGCCATACTGGGGGACAACTTCAGGTAGGACTTTTGCCCCAGAAGTAGGGACAGTACCACTGCACTACAGGAGTCCTGAGCAATGACTGTATTGTGATGAAATTAGTATGTTCTAGGATCTCAAAGTTGGTGACATTGTCTTATCAAGGGACTTTGAGGAAATGACTGAGACAGCAATAATGGAAACTTGTTCAGCCTTTTTATTCTGCTTTAATTAATGTCGAGGAGTACACTGAGAAGACAGTCTTGATAGACTCACCATTTAGTGTTCTTGGTCTTGTTGTTCCACACTTTGTCCAAGAAAAGTGTTATAACATCGCAGTTTTTGTGATATGGGAATTTGAGGTCAGCTAATTTATTGTTTGCAAGACTTTCTATTCATTCATGTTCTATTCATTACTTGTGTTCAGCTGTTGAAGAGTATGGAGGAGAGTTGGTCTGCTCTGATGAAATGTGTCTTTGTGTAAAACTTGAGAAAATATTTTATCTCTTGAAATGCACTTTGCACCTTATTTTAAAATATTCCTTCTACCCTTAAATGTGCAGTTTTAATGATCCTTCCATCATCATTCACAAATTAACCTTTATAATCCATTTAAAATCTCCAGATTACAATAAATGGAGTTATTTTTCATCAAATTTTTGTCAGTTTCTTCTTTTTGTCATTAAATCAGTATACTCTGTGCCCAACTAATATGAAATATGAAGACAAAAAAAAAGAATTTCTCCCCCAATGTTGGTTCATAGTTTATGACTACGTTTAGCATGCTGAAAGGAGTGCTTGTTTAAATGAATAATTACTCTATTTTGGTTAAAGAATGGTTGCTCAGCCTCTGGTTCATTTCTCAAGGCAATACCTTGATCAATCACAGCCAACCTGCCTGGATTAAAATTTAAACAAAACTTGGTAGTTAACTTCGGTCATTATTTAATGGGTGCATTCTCCATGGCAATGTCTTTACCAATCATAGTCCATTTGATAGCCAATCATATGCTCTATTCTCATAAAGTGTAAAAGGATTGTTTTTTATTTTCATTGGTATTTCTTGCTAATGTCCTGATGAGTGCAAGACAAAATGCTTCCACAAAATGTCTTTTTTCAGTAATACTCAAGTTCTGTACTGTCAAATAATTATAAATTATTATATTAAACAGAGGACTGGCTTATAATATAGCCTTATAAATTAATTAAAAGAAATCAGATGTTTTTGTTTCTATTTAAATGTTTAGCTTACTGATGCTCTTAGAACAACTGACAGAATTGTCGGGCAACTGATGGATGGACTCAAACAGATGAAACTGCATCGTTGTGTCAACATCATCTTTCTTGGTGATCATGGTAAGTTATTACGCCATATGAACTTTTAGATGCTGAACTTCTTACCTTCCTCAAAAAGTAGCAGAGATGTTGATTTTTTTTGTGTCATCATAAGTGAATGAGCAACAAATTAATAAAGATTCTCGAAATGCATCCTTCCTGAATTTCACTTGTGGTTTAAAATAAAGAAGTGATCAACAGTGAGTCACCTCCAATGATTATCTTATAAAGTAATAGCAAAATGCTGCAGATGCTGGAGCTCTGAACTAAAACAGTAAGTATTAGAGATGTTCAACAGGTCTGGACACCAAAGAAGAATCATATTGGACTTGACACGTTAACTCTGTTTCTCTCTGTATAGATTCTGCCAGCCCTGCTGAGTTTCTCCATCACTTTCTGTTTTTATTTCATGACATTATAACACTTATAAAGCAACATTTGTATCATTTCATTTGTAAAACATGTAAGTTGTGCCTGACAGATTTGGAGTGTATAAATCAACACTTAAGAAGCAGGACAAATCCAAATCAGACAATGAGCATCCAGTCTACTCTCAATCATTAGCAAGGTGATGGATGGGGTCACCACCAGTAGTGATATCAGGGCAATACTTTCTTAGGAATGACCTGATGCTCAATTTTGGTTCTGACATGCCCACACAACGTCTGACCTAAGTACATTCTTAGCTCAAACATGAACAAAAGAACTGAACTAGAAAGGGGAAGTGGCAATGACTACCTTTGACATTAAGATTGCTTTTGACTGATGTGGTATCAAGTAGTACTGGCATCCATTGTCGACAGGAATCAGGGAAAAGTCTCCGCTGGATGGAGTCATATTGAGAAGAAAGGAAGATGGTTGTGGTTTTTGGAGGTCATCCGTCTTCACCTGCTTCATCAATGGCCTTTCCTGCATTGTAAGGTCAGAAGTGGGGATGCTCGTCGATGATTGCACAATGTTTAGCACCATTCATAACTCCTCAGTTACTGAAGCAGCTTGATGTGCGGGATAACCTGGACAATAACTGGGCTTAGCTTGTTAAGTGACAAGTAATATTCATGCTAGACAAGAACCATCTCAAATAAAACAGCATCTAACCAGCTTGCTTTAGCATTCAATAGCATTATCATCACTGAATGCCCCACCATCAACATTCTGAGTCTTACCATTGACCAAACTACACTGGATTAGCCATATAAATATGATGCCCACAAAAGTAGGTCAGAGGCTATGAAAGCTGCAGTGATTCATTTACCGCCGAACTCCCCAAAGCCTATCCTCCCTCTACATGCCAGCTGGGCCAGCTGAGTATTCCCAGCCTTCTCAGCCCTCCTTCTGATGAAGGGTCTAGGCCCGAAACTTCAGCCTTCCTGCTCCTATGATGCTGCTTGGCCAGCTGTGTTCATCCAGCTCTGCATCTTGTTGTCTCCCTCTACAAGGCACAAGTTAGGATTGTGATGGAATACTGTCCATTTGCCAGGATGAGGGCAGTTTAAACAACACACAACGAAGCTGTAGACCATTCAGGATAATGCTGCCCATTTGTTTGGGCACCTATTCACCGCTGAAGTAGGGTGGCAGCCGTATGTACCATTTACAATATGCACTGCAGCAACTTGTTGAGGCTCCTTCGATAATACCTTTCAAACCTGTGACATGTACCATCAAGAAGGACAAGGCAGGAGATGGGTGGGAACACCACCATTTGCAAAGCCACACACCATCCTGGTTTGGAAATATATTGTGTCCCTTGACTGTTGCTGGGTTGAAATCCTGAAACTCTCTTCCTAACAGTACTGTGGGTGGCCTTACAGCACAAAGACTGCAGCAGTTCAAGGTGGTAGCTCACCAACAATGTTCCCTCTCGACCTTGTGGCTGACACATTCACTTCTGATTTTAGAAGTTCTTGGAGGTCTGCATACCAAAAAAGAAAGTTATAGGGAGTATTGTTCACCACCACTTTCTGCAGGGCATTTGGACTTGGCAATAAATCCTAGTCAAGCCAGTGATGCCCACATCCCACGAATGAATGACAAATGCACAGAGAGTCAGTGGCTCTGGCATTGATGGTGGAGAGACAAAGAGAATTGACTTCATGACGGTGATGTTAATGTTTACTCCGTTTTTATCTCTCCGCAGATGCTGCCAGCTGGCCAGCTGAGTATTCCCAGCCTTCTCAGTTTTTGTATCTGATTTCTAGCATCCAGAGTATTTTATTTATGTTTTGTAGCAACAGAATCAGTTTCACTTCAGTGCTGTTTCATTTCAAGTTCTTGTTAACTTTGCAACAGATCTTTTAAGATCTCCTAAGTGAGGAGAAACAACAGTTACATGATTTAAGTAGGAGCACAGATGTTACGGAGCTTGGAAAATGTAATGTGTTTATGTGTGTGCGTGTGTAGATTGAGGGACGGTGTGGAAGCTGTGTGCTCAGATAAGTGGGCATGATGAGGAGTTACTCTGCAGAACTAGTGAGTGTGCAACTGGTAGTTCTATGTCACAATCATTAAAACATGTGAAACTTCCTCGTGAAGACCCCTTGCAAGTACTGTCATGAGGACCTCCGGCAAAATCTCCCAAAGCAATGCTACCTGCCTAAAGGAAAGAATGTAAAACTAAGTTATCAGAAAACCTTTTTATTGGTAATTGACGTAATACCCTGTATTTAGTACTCGTTGGACAAAGTGCTGGGGCAAGCAACTTCATTAACTCTTCACCCCAACCATTGAGACAGCTTCTCAGATCAAGTACCAATTAGTTAGAGAGAGATTTTCATTCAGACAGGAGCCTCGCCACTGAAGCCCCACCCCACCTGAAGCTGCCAGCAAATCAGAGGCCAGCAGCCTTGGGGCTGGAGGGTGTCACTGGAGCATAGGCTGTGTAGCTGCTGTGAAGCCAGCAAGCAATCCCTGAGGGGTTACAGGGCAAAATGGGCTCAAAGGCAATGGCTGGATGGTGGCTTTCAACAGCTGTACTGTTGCCCCATGCATCTGCCCCCAGACTGAGACAATTAGAATGACACGGTGGCTCAGTGGTTAGCACTGCTGCCTCATAGCACCAGGAACCCGGGTTCGATTCCACCCTCGGGCGACTGTGTGGAGTTTGCGCATTCTCCCCGTGTGTGTGTGGGTTTCCTCCGGGTGCTCCAGCTTCCTCCCACAGTCCAAAGATGCGCAGGCTAGGTGCATTGGCTGTGCTAAATTTCCCATAGTGTTCAGGGATGTGTAGGTTAGATGGGTTATAGGGGGATGGGTCTGGGGGGGATGCTGTGAGGGTAGGTATGGACTTGTTGGGCCGAAGGGCCTGTTTCCACTCTGTAGGGATTCTATGATTCTAGAAAATGGAGGCTGCCCCAAACCCAGCAGACAGGTCAGGCTAGTTGCCTTGTCAGGAAAGCAGCCATTTTTCTTGCATGCTGAGAAGGCAGGTTAAAGGGACCAGAGGAGGATTGAGGGCTGAAATGGCCATTAATTGACTGTTTCATTGGTGGCAGGTCAAGAAGTGTGTATTACTTCGGTGCATTGAGATCGGCTGGGTATCCAATTAGTCCAATTAAGAATAACAAACGAGAAATTGGAGCAGTGATGCCTCTTTAATTTGTTGCTTTTAGCTTTATACAAATTATCTCTCCAAATGTGAACAAAGTATCCCATACCCTTCCAGAACCTGTTAATTCCATTTTTCAGTATAAGCAGGTGAATATTACAATTCCATCCAAATTTTCTGAAGCATGGGTAGGAAAACCCATTGAAATTTATAAGTCACTTAATTCTCAGTGGAATCTTGAAATAAAGAAAAGGCACAGAAAGAAAAGGCAATTAGACAAACAAACTAAGGTAAACCATTATAACTAGGAACAACCATTTTCAAATCAGCGTTTTGGATTTAAGTAAGAATGCTGGAACTGAAATGCCAAACAAATTCAATTAAAATACAAATATTTCCTATTGACCAGTTCAGACGTTATGACACACTTCTGGAGCAGGTAGGACTTGAAGTTGGATTTTCTGGCCCAGAAATAGTGCAGCACAGTGGCTCAGTGGTTAGCACCGGGTTCGATTCCAGCCTCAGGTGAATGTCTGTGTGGAGTTTGCACGTTCTCCCCGTGTTCATGTGGGTTTCCCACTGGGTGCTCTGGTTTCCTCTCCGCTGTTCAAAGATGTGCCGGTGGATTGATAATACTAAATTACCCACAGTGTACAGGAATGTGTAGGCTAGGTGGATTAGCTATGGTAAATGTAGGGTTATAGGAGTGGGAAGTGTGGGTCTGGATGGGACGCTAACTGGAGGGTCAGTGCGAGCTTGATGGCCCAAATAGCCTCTTTATGCACTGTGGGGATTCTATGACACACCAATATGCTACAAGAGCCCATCAATTGATAGAATAAATTATGAAATGATATTTAATAAATACCACTGAATTAGGCAGAAGTATTAGAAAGGCTAGCATGAGCTCTGGTTTCCAGTTTTTTTGCTGTGGCTAAACAGATTAGGTTACTTATCCCTATATAAGTGCACAATAATTTAAGGGAAGGATTTATACAAAGAAAGTGAAGATTTAAATGGAACTTTTGTTCAGATCCTTTTTGTAACAAAAAGAACATTGAAAGATTGTTTTCAGTAGTCTTTGCCTTCTTTTGTGGAAATCACCATGTTAAAAAAATCTCTAGTGGGACTTGCTGTTCCTGAATTTCAATACAAATTACTTCTCACTGGTTGTATTACAAGACTACGTGTTGTGTCTGTATATGTTGCATAAATACCAGACACCCTGCCTCTGCTGTTGGAGACCTCCTTGACATCCTCACTCCTTTCGCTCATTGTAAAAGATGGAACAATGCAAATAGTCTGAGCATCAGATGGATTATCCTGCTTCAAACACGATCCTGCTAAGAATGGACATCCAGTAGCTTTCTTCACATTGCCACAGCCAGTGATCTCTACCAATGCCCGATATTAAACATATATAACCTTGGCAATGCACTCAGCAGCCATCTAGAATACATCAGTGTATGAGGTACTGTTTGAGCACAGCTAAACCCGACTGAATCTGATCTGCAGTCGCATATTGATCTTCAGGAAGAAAAGATAACTTCATGGTATTTGTGGTTTATTTTAAAGGAATGGAAGATGCAAGCTGTGAAAGAACAGAATTTTTGAGTAACTATCTCTCTACTGTTGATGACATCATCCTGTACCCTGGAACTCTGGGACGTATTCGCTCCAGATACAGTAACAATCCCAGATGTAAGTAAATTGGCGAGAGAGCCGATTTCCTTAATATTTGCTTTTGATTTACAAGAGTGGTTTGGTAGCGCTTTTACCCCAAGCAGACCAGGTTGGAGGGATACATCTACAGCAGGCTATGAGAGAACCAACAAGAAGGAAAGCCAGTTTGACCGTATCCTTAGCATCTTCCACATATATAAGGGGTGGGTTATAAATGATGGCCTCGGAATGCCTGCATGGTGCACAATTCACTATGTTACATTTCAGTCCAAATAATTTTGTTGCTGACTGTGTACTTAATACCAATATGCTGCAGTTACATTGGGAAATATTGTTGAAAGGTCCCAGGTTTCTCAGTTCCTACAAATAGAAACTGACAGAAAATTCAGGGCAAAGCTACGTAGATTGGTCAGTTTGGCTAAACAGTGTCATCCAGTCTTATTTGACATGTGCAACGACTCCAGTATGTCTGTGGATGCTCATTTTAAATCTTAGGAACCTGAACAGCTATATCTTATAATTGGAATGAACAAATAGCCACTCTTTTCTACTGATAGAAATGTTGCTGACTATTGTGTATTCAGTGCAAAATTCCAACGTGCTATCATTTAGCTGTTATTACAAGAATGATTTGATGAATCCCAGTTCCTTTCAGGAAGTATGGCATGATGAGACAACATAGCCAAAATTTGGATAAAGAGGTAAGCAGGTCATGCAGGATTTTCTGTACATTAAAAATATTGGACAGTAAATCCTTTAAGGTGTGTTGATCTATGTACCTGAGTTACCGATAAGCAATTGTTGCATTAGAATTTGTAAGATGTGCCCTCATAACTTGCGGTAACACGCTTGTATTGTTGTTCTAAGACTGTGCTGCTTGTAAGATATATTTGTTATGGCTGCATTTTGGTTTTTGATTAGTTGTGAATATAGTTAAGTTGGGTAAAGCTTGTTTCTTCAGTAACCCATTAGGATCTCCTCATTTTACAGCTTTATGTTAACCTTTCTTTATAGATGATCCCAAAACACTGGTGGCTAACCTTACTGTGAGTATAAAATAATGCATTATTGAAAGCTAATATTTAAAGACAAGGACATAGCTACTGTATTCTGAATATTAATGAAATCTAATACAGATACAGAACTAGTCAGAATTTTTGTTTCTGTACTCACTGGCACATGACTTCCCGTTTATTGAAATCAATGGACAGGAAATTGAAGGCTAGCAAATGTTGAAACAGAAAACACTTTCTCACATACTGATCTAATTACTGGAAGGCTTACACTTTGATCATTGTAATGTACAAACAAGGAACAAGAGTAGGCCATTGGGTTTGTTGACCCTGTTTCACGATTCAATAAGATCATAGCTGATCTCATTTAAACTTCAACTCTACATTCCTTCACATCTCCAATAATCTTTCATCTCCTTGGTAATCAAGAATCAATCAACCTCTGGCTTAAAAATATTTAAAAGTTCTGGATTCACTGCATTTTGAGGAAGGGAATTCCAAAGCCATTCAGCCCTCTGAGAGAAAAATTGTTTCCTTATCTCTGTTTTTAATGAGTGCCCCTTATTTTTAAACTGTGACCCCTAGTTCTAGATTTTTCTACCAGAGGAAGCATCCTTTCAGTATCTGCCCAATCACATCCCTTCAGGATTTTAGGCGTTTCAATGAAGTCACCTCTTTTAAACTCTACAGGACCCAGGCCTAGCGTGTCTAGGATTTCCTCATAAGGCAACCTCCTCATTCCAGATATTAGTCCAGTAAACCTTCTCTGAACTCGTTCCAATGCATTAACATCCTTCTGTAAGTACGGTGACCAGTGCAGTACATAATACTCCAGATGTGATCTCACCAATGCCTTGTATAACTGAAGCATGTTGCACTTTAAATAATGGCAGTGTTTGCTGACATCAGTAACTCTGGGCAATTGTCTCTTTGTGCTGACCGGGGAACGCATGGTTCCAAGCTCTGATGTCATCATGTAGACTTTATGTGATGTCATATGTAAGTGCATTACAGCACATGCACAGGGAAGGGTGCGTGATTTTGAACTGGGTTCAGTAGTGGAGGGAGCGATGCTGGATGTGGGGGAGCCCCCTGGGAACCGGGCCAGGACCAGGGAGGTTGGAGTTGGATGTGACGAGGAGAGCCCAGGAGCTGGGAGGCCTTCTCTCCTTCTGTCTTCCTTCCCTCCGCCCCAACCTCTGGCTGTCCTCCCTTATCTCCATTTTTGCTCTCTCCCGGTTTTCCCCATCTCTTACCCCAACTCTCCTAGTCCCAATCTCTCCTTCCCTCCTCCCCCTCCCCCCAACTCCTGATCTCTTTCATCCCTCACCACCCAGTCCCAATATTGTTTCCTCAGCCATCCCAACCTCTCCTCCCCTTCCCACCACTCAACTCCAACTTCTCCTGAAATCTGCACATTCACAACTTAAAACAGTGCATAGTGTGATGCATTAGTGCTAACAAACATAGCCATAAATTCTACCATTTGCTGCTTACTAAAGAATACCAAATAGATTTAGCTGAAGTTGCTAATGCATTTTTTTAATAATTGGAACTGATTTTCTCTTTCGTTATAATAACTGGTTTAAGTTAAAATCGGTAAACTCATTGTTGCATTGAAATTGCCTTTTTTAAGCCACCTATATTTTTCTGTCACTATTTATTAGCTAACCACCAGGATCAGCTTATGCTTCAGTAACATGGACCCATCATCCAAGTTCAGATGAAATTCTAAATAGATTTGATCTGTAATGTTTCTATGGTTTTAAGTAGACCAGTGACTGCTTCATGAGGCATTACCGGGAATGGTGCTTTCGAAGCCACAGTGGGATTGTGAAATGAGATTTTGGGGTCACAGCTTTGAGGCAGCAATGGCTGGATCTCAGACTGAATGCTCACAGCTGAGAGCCACTTCAATCCTCTTCACCTTATGTAATGGTTGGTATGGCCTAATAGACAGATCTTTTAGAGGCCTGATTGCTGCTGCAAAACTATTGAAAAGATAGGTTCCTTTGTTTTAAACAAAAATAGCTTAAACTGTTGCCACTGTGCTCAGGAGCAAATCTGCCATTCCTAGCGCCCCCCTCAGAGACTTGAACCTGCTCCCCCCACCAACCAGGGTCACAAGAGGTGTGAGAATTGGCTGATACCAGGATGCAGTACTCAGAACCCAAGATATGAGATTAATTCAAGAGGACCAAAAGCATTTTCTGAAGAAGGGTCTAGGCCCGAAACGTCAGCCTTCCTGCTCCTCTGATGCTGCTTGGCCTGCTGTGTTCATCCAGCTCTACACCTTGTTATCCCAGTGTGTCCAATTTGTTTCTCATGCAGAAGAACAGTGCATGCTTATAATGACTGAAGTTTGTATCAAATGGGAAGAAGGTGCTTCACTGCTTTGATGAAGAGTCATCTGGACCTGAAACATTAGCTTGCTTTTTCTCCATGGATGATGCCTGATCTGCTGTGATTTCCAGCACTTTTTTTTGTTTTTGGGTGAAAATGCTTGATCACTTTGCATATTCTGCTTATTTGTCTTAAAAATGATCAGCTGCTATCTGTTTACTTGAGTCGATAGGATCAGGAGTAGGCCATTCAGCCTATTAGGCCTGCTCCCCCACTTAATACAATCAGGGCTAATCAATCATTTCAGTGCCCTTTACCCACACTGTTCCCATAACCCTCCCTCCATCCACCGTTAGTCAGAAATTCATCAACCTCTAAACATACTTAAAGACTGAGCTTCCACAGGTATCTGGATGATTGAATGGGACTTGGTGCAAGTTAGCATGTTAGCAGTAAAGTTTTGAAGAATATCAGAGAGATGTTCCTCTGTATCTTTCTTTGGACAGAATTCAATATATATAGATAAAATTTGTGTTGTATTCTGAAATTAGTGCAGAAGAATACAAATACAAATGGACCATCATTTGGAAAACCTTTGTACTAAGATGATTTGAGCTTTTAAGGAGTATAAACTAGCAGATTATGATTTTTTTAGAGGATATTTTTCCCTTAATGTGTAGGCCTTCTTATACCATATGATATTCATGACAGAGGGGATCTTTTAAGACCGGGCCACAAAATTCTTTAAATGCTGGTCTGGTATAAACCACCTCAAGCTGAAACTTATGGTTTTTTTGGCTAAGTATGATTTGTGTTGAGTCTGATAGTGATTCTGACCACAAGGCCCAGAGAATTTTCTCGCTGTATCTTACCAAACTCACTGCAAATAATTGACATTCCAGCTCTTACGGTGAGTATCAAATCTGGTCTCCACCCCATCTTACCACTTGGAGTTCTCACCAGAGCTCTCAGAATTGACCAGCATCCCTGGTGCTGGTGGGATATTTCAAAGCCCATTTGTGTACCTGCACAAATGCTGTCAGTCCAGAGTTGCCCGGCGTGGTCCCTGACAGAGGGAAATTGGCGCCCAGCTTTGTGGGCAGGAAGGTGGTGCACAGGTGGGACTTCCTCCTGCCTGAGGACCAGCAGTATATCAGACCTTGTCAGCCTGGTCTGAGGTGGCGTAGAGCCCATTCTGGTTTCCATGTTGAATTTTTCCAACAGCTAGTTTGTAGGGCGAGTTTGGTAAGATGGCCACCCGTGACAAGTTGGACTGTGAGCAATGTGTTTAACAAGCAAGAATGGTCATCAATTGGGAGCTCACAGCAGCCTGGCAAGAATGTCGTTAAGCTGCTAGAGGAAAGTGTACCTGATGTGATGAGATAATCTCAACAGAGACATGAACCTCGCCAAACATATCACCCAATTCTGCCACTCACCTTGGCATAGCCCACACCGTTCAGAGCCTGATAAGATTGCAACCTGGAAGATGAACAAAATTTCATAAGTATGGTTCTTTCTGCGTCACATCTTCCTTTCTGTTTCGAGTCTGCTTATGGTGAATCAGCAGTGTAAGAAATGATTTATAGAAAGCCATTTGCCACACTGTTATGGTGCAGTGTGTTGGTACTTTGACACACTGCTCCATTAACACAGTGAATTTTCGAAAACTGATTGTGCATGTCAAAGTTACAACTGGAATATAAACTTCTTTATTTGCTCCTCTTAATTTGGACTAAATCTAGTAAGAAAATGTACTTTGTAAAATTTGGGATCTACTTATATATAGGGTAAGAAATGTATGTGTAATAATATGTTGTTGTTCCAGTGTCAAAACTACTACACCATACAGTGCCTGATATTGTTTTACCTTGAGTGCAGTAGCTGTGTCTAATGACCTAATTTGCTTTTGCAGTTTTCGCTGTTCACGAATGATCATTAATTCATACTCTGAAGCAACTGTAACCTACTGATAAAGAATTGTAAGAGTTGTTTTTTTATTATCTTTGTGCTATAGATTTTGCTCAACTTCAATTGTTTTTCAGTGTAAAAAACCGGATCAGCATTTCAAGCCCTATTTGAAGATGAACCTCCCAAAGCGTTTACATTATGCCAACAACAGAAGAATTGAAGATGTCCATATAATGGTAGAGAGGAAGTGGCAGGTAGCAAGGTACTTAAATAAATTGCACTTGAAGCCTAAATACTAAGTCACAACTATGGATGCTGGATGTCTGAAGCAAAAATTGATAGAGAAACATAACAGGTCTTGTGGTGTCTGTAAAGAGAGAAACAGAACTAATGTTTGATGAAGAGTCACTGGACTTGAAATATAATCTCTGCTTTCTTCCCACAGATGCTGCCAGACCTGTTGAGTTTCACCAGCAATTTCTGTTTTTGTTTCTGATCTCCAGCATCTGCACTTTGTTTTATTTCAATGTTTCCAATCTAGTCTTCTGTAGAAGGGTAACTGGACTTGAAATATCACACCTGTTTTTTTCTCTACAGATACTGCCAGGCATACTTTTTTTTTGTCTAGCACATTCTGTTTTGTACACATATAACGTAGCCTGCTTATTTCTGTTTTAATGTACCTATTTGAGCACCATGGAGTTACTACATCTTGCAAAATTTTAATTCTTTACTGTAAATGCATATCAAAAATCTGACTAATAATTCTTATGCTACACTGTGTACAGATTTAGGAATGTGTGAGTTTAGAATATCAGTCTCTTAATTCCTATATACTCCCCTGTAAACGATGACAGCGCTATTATGAATATTCTACATTAACCTTCAGTATAATTTCACTTGTTTTTATACCGTTATTAGTAATATTTTCACTTTTGTAGAGCCTACATTATACATTAGTTCGTAAAAACCGGAAGAATATTGTAAATTACTCTCTGTTCAGATAAAATGTGTGAACTGTGTAGGCCCTGTACCCTGATGATTTGTCATTGACTGGTACTTTTAGATTAAATTATGCTGGGCATCTATAAACTTTTTCATGAGTTGCAGATAATTTCACCTTGTGAAATAAAACTGACTACATGTATGGTGTAGTAGTTTTGACACTTTCTTGAGTTGAATATTGTAGTTCCCTGCGAGTGGATTTTGAGGTGGGCAATATATAAAATAATGCAGCCTTCCTGTCCACTCCTGAACTGTCCTAAATTATGGGCGGGATCAGATACGTGTGACAGGCAGTCCACTACAGGCATAGGTCTGTGATGAAGTGGTTGAAATCAGGGATGTTCAAGTGCTACATTCCCTCTAATACTTCCTGCTGCTGTGTGAACCTCCAATGATTGTGTGAGACAGGCACTTCTGGAACGGTAGGTCAATGTGTCCATTGCGTATTGACCCTCCGATTGGCTGTGAGAGAATATTGTTCAAGAGGCCAGAATTGGAGGCTCGAAGGCATCCCACGGGCTTTTGGAGCTGGAGCAGATTATACATGTCAGGAGGTGTGAGGCCAGGGAATACTTTTAAAATAGGGATGGTGTTTTAAAATCTAACTATTAATTAACTGTGCACCAATGTAGGGCAGTGAACTGACTGATGATTGAGTGGGACTTGGTGCAAGTTAGCATGTGGGCCATAAAGTTTTGAAGAATATCAGAGGGATGTTCCTCTCTATCTTTCTTGGGACATAATTCAATATATATAGATAACATTTGTGTTGTTTTATGAAATTAGTGCAGAAGAATACAAATCTGATGATGAGTGGATGTTTGCATTGAGAAATAAGCCCCATTCTGCAAAATGTCTTGTAGTCAAGAAATAGACATGGATAAAAATTTGCTTTTGATTTGTATTATGTTAAATAATACAATGGACCATTCATAAAGGAATGTACTTGAGCAGAACACACTACATCAGGCCATTTGACCTCCATATGTTTAATGTCTTTTACTTCATGCTTTAAGAAATCGTGTGTTAACTGTCCTTTCTGTTTTCAGGAAACCAATGGAAGTTACCAGAAAGCTCGCAGGAAAATGCAGTTTTCAAGGCGACCATGGCTATGATAATAAAATCAATAGTATGCAGGTAGGAATTGTACTGACTTGTTTGAAATGTTCTATTCTTCAACTACTCCTTCAATGCTAACTTCAGGACAAATATCACATGATATTACTCTTCTGTGTTTTATTTTCTATCTTTATTCTGAATACACAAATAAAATGTTACCTTTAGTTCTTCAAAAATAAAACCTTTAGTTTTTTTTATTTTTATTCATTCATGGGATGGGGTCATTGTTGGCTAGGGAATCTTAACCCTATTTGCTGAGAGGGCAGTTAAGAGTCAATCATATTGCTTGTGGGTCTGGAGTCACATGTAGGCCAGCCCAGGTATGGATTGCAGTTTCCTCTCCTAAAGGACATTAGTGAACCAGGTGGGGTTTTATAACAGTCGGCAACTAATTCATGGTCATCAGCAGACTCTTAATTCCAGATGTTGAATCAAATTCCATCATCTGTTGTGTTGGGATTCGAAACATTGTCCCAGAACATTACCTGGGTCTCTGGGTTAACTGTTCAGCAATAATACCACTAGGCCATCACCTCCCTTAATTGACCATTGGATATTGGGTTGGCCTCGCTGGTTTCAGTACTTGGATAGATGTACTGATGTCAAATTTAATCAGTAGCAACGTCCTACCTAGGAGTAGGATGTAATATAAAAGAAGGGCAAAGTCAGAAGTCACACGACACCAGGTTATAGTCCAAAAGGTTTATTTGAAGTCACAAGCTTTTGGAGTGTAGCCCCTTTGTCAGGTGAAGTGAGGGAGACACACACAGACAGAGAATTTATAGGCAGAGAGACCAAGGGCAGAGAGGTCAAAAGATCATTCCAATAGTGTTATGGAGTGTCAAATAAGAAGCCTCTTCAAGTGATCAAAAGTATCAGATGGCGTGAGTAAAGTATCACCAGCTGAACAACAAGCGAAGGGATGACTTATAATCCGATAAAATGAGGTAGAGAGATAATTACAAAAAATTAAAAATAAGGAGGTGCTGGAGTCAAACCAAATGGATAGAATAACATGATAGGTATAAGAGCCGTATGCCGAGTATCTAACCAAAGTAATAAGTAATCCAAAACTGTACAAACTAATTAAGGTACAGCGATCATAACCTTAATTAATGTATACATCTTTAACACACCTTAAACAGAAGCTTACTTAAAGTTATTCATAAAGGTAAATGTCAAACAAGTATTCCGTTTAGGTGCCAATGGGAGGGGTGGACCATCAAGTGATAGCAGTAGCAGCAGCAGTTGGAGCAGTGACAACATGGATGGCTCCTGCTGTACAGAGGGGAAGGATAATGTGTAATAGAGCTACAGGAATTGGAGATTTTATAGTCAGGGGCACAGATAGATTCTTCTTGGGCTGTGAGAGAGACTCCAGGATGGTATGTTGCCTCCCTGGTGCCAGGGTCATGGATGTTTCGGAATGGGTATGGGGCATCCTGAAATGGGAGGGTAAACAGACAGAAGTCATTGTCCATATTGGCACAAAAGACATGGGTAGGAAGAATGACAACGTCCTACAATGACAATTCAGGGAGTTAGGTAGTAAACTAAAAAGCAGGACCTCTGGGGTAGTAATCTCAGGATTACTCCCTGTGCCACGTGCTACTGAGGCTAGGAACAGAGACATAGTACAGTCGAACACATAGCTAAAGAGCTGGTGTAGGGTTGAGGGCTTCAGATATATGGATCATTGGGATGTCTTCCAGGGAAAGTAGGACCTGTACAAGTGGGGCAGGTTGCACCTAAACTGGAGGGGCACCAATAATCTTGCAGATAGATTTGATAATGCCACTTGGGAGGATTTAAACTAGTGTGGCAGGATTGTGGGAACCGGAGCAGTAGGTCAGTAAGTATAGAGACTGGGGAAGAGCTTTAGATTAAGGCAAATACAGCTAAGAGGAAATGCATTCAGGGAGAAGTTTCTGACCTCAGGAGAACTGGAGGCTAGTATTGTATTTGCTTCAATGCAACAAGTATAACAGGTAAGACAGGTGAATTTAGACCCTGGATTAATGCATGCAACTATGATGTTGTTGCTATCACAGAGACATGGTTGGAAGAGGTCAAGATTATCAGCTTGGTGTTCCGGGATATCGATGCTTTAGACAAGACAGAGGAGGAAGCAAAAGAGATGGGGGCATTGCATTATTAGTTGTGGAGCACATCACAGCTGTGTTGAGGGAGAAAACCCTGGAGGGACCTTGCAGCAAGGCTTTATGGGTAGATCTCAGGAATAGGAAGGGTACAATCACAATGCTGGGATTGTACTATCTCCAGCTGCTAGCGGGAGATAGAAGAAGAGATATGTATTCAGATTTTGGAAAGATGGGAAAATGATAGGGTTGATGTGGTGGGTGATTTTTAACTTTCAACATATTGACTGGGACTCCCTTAGTGCTAGGGGTTTAGATAGGGAGCGGTTTGGTAGGTGTGTCCAGGAGGGTTTTTTGAAAGAGTATGCGGATAGTCCAATGAAAGAGGGGGCCATAGTGGACCTGGTATTGGGAAATGAGCCCGGCCAGGTGATCAAAGTTTCAGTGGGGGAACATTTTGGCAATAGTGGCCATTATGGATAAGGACAAGAGTGGACCCCAGGTAAAGGTATTAAACTGCAGGAAAGCCAACTCTAATCGGATTCGGCAAGAACTGGAGAATGTGGATTGGGAGAAGATGTTTGAGGATAAATCTACATCTGACAGGTAGGAGTCATTTCAAAGGCCTGTTGATTAGGACAGGAATGTTCCTATGAAAATGAAGGACGAGAATGACAGGATTCGGGAACCTTGGGTGACAGGGAAAATTATCAGATGAATTTTTAAAAAAAGGAAGCATACCTAGGGTCTAGGCAACTAAGAACAGATGAAGTCCTTGAAAATATAGAGAAAGTAGGAAGGAGCTTAAACGGGGAGTTGGGAGGGCTAAAGGGGTTATGAAATGTACTTGGCCAGCATGGTTAAGGAGAATTCCAAGGCATTTTATATATATTAGGAGCAAGAGGGTAGCAGGGAAAAGAGGAGGCTCACTCAAGGATGAAGGAGGGAGGTTATATGTGAAGCCAGAGGAAACGGGTGAAATCCTTAATGAGTACTTTACAAAGAGAGGGACATGAGGAGTGTTGAGGTTAGGGAAAAGTGTGTTAAAACTCTCGGGTGGGTCAACATAATGAAGGAGGAAATGTTGGGGTCCTTGAAATGCATTAAGGTAGACAAGTCCCCAGGGCCAGATGGGATCTATCCCAGGATACTGTGGGCGGCAATAATTGGAGCCTTAATAGATATCTGCATCATCTATGGTCTCAGGCGAGGTTCCAAAGGACTGGAGAATGGCCAGTGTTGTTCATTTGTTTAAGAAGGGAAACAGAGATAATCCAAGTAATTACAGGCCGGTGAGGCTGATGTCAGTATTGGGGAAGCGCTTGGAGAAGATAATGAGAGCCAGGATTTATTCGCATTTGGAAACAAATGGACTTGTTAGTGATAGACAGCGTGGGTTTTTGTGGGGAAGATCATGTCTCACCAATTTGATGGAGTTCTTTGAAGAAGTGACAAGAATGATTGATGAGGGAAAGGCAGTGGATGTTGTCTACATGGACTTTAGTAAGGCATTTGATAAGGTACCTCATGGCAGGCTGATACAAGAGATTACAGTCTCAAGGAGTTTTGGGGTGTGATGTCTAGATGGATACAGAACTGGCTTAGTCGTAGAAGACAGAGAGTAGCGGTGGAATGGTGCTTTTTGGAATAGAGATCAGTAACTAGTGGTGTTCTGCGGGATCAGTGCTGGGACTTTTGTTGTTTGTAATATATATAAATGATCGGGATGAAAATATAGATAGTCTGATTAGTAAGCTTGCGGATGACACCAAAATTGGCAGAGTTGCAGGTAGCGAGGAGGATTGTCAAAGGATACAGCAGGATATAGATAGATTTCAGATTTGGGCAGAGAAATGGCTGACGGATTTTAATCCGGACAAATGCAAGGTGATGCATTTTGGAAGGTCAAATTCAGGTGCGAATTGTACAATAAATGGCAGAACCCTGATATACAGAGGGATCTGCCTTTGCAGGTCCACAGATCTCTGAAATTGGCAACACAGATGGATAAGGTGGTCAAGAAGGCATATGGCACACTTGCCTTAATTGGCCGGGGTATCAAATATATAAGTTGACAAGCTTTGTTACAGCTGTAAAAAACTTTATTTAGGCCACATTTGGAATATTGTGTGCAATTCTGGTCACCACACTGCCAGAAGGACATAAATGCTTTGGAGAGGATGCAGAGAAGGTTTAACAATTGTTGCCTCATTTGGAGGAGAGGTTGGATAAACTCAGATTGTTTTCTCTGGAAAGACGGAGGCTGAGGAACGACCTGATAGTGGACTTCAAAATTATGAGAGGCATTGATAGCAGGGTGGAAAGGTCAACTACAAGAGGGCACAGGTTCAAGGTGAGAGGGGAAAGTTTAAGGGAGAAGTGTGTGAAAAATTTTTCATGCAGAGGGTGGTGGGTGCCTGGAGCACATTGCCATTGGAGGCAGTGGAAGCAGGCATGTTAGCAATGTTTAAGGCATATCTTGATGGACACATGAACAGGATGCAAATAGAGGGATAGAAACCACGTATGGGCAATATGTAGCGGGTCTAAATAAGGACTAGGAATCAGTGCAGGCTTGGTGAGTCAAAGGGCCTGTTCCTGTACTGCATTGTATTCTATAAAGTTGTCTGTCGTCTACATGAGCATACTAGCTTTGTGTAGTGGATTTTCCCATTTGTTTTTAACAGGATTTATAAAGTGGGAGAAATTGATAATTCTCTCCCAAAGAAGGTTTTATATTTAAACCTAATTTAAACCAAAACAAATCCCAACAATTTGCCTTTCTACTACTGTAGATCATTCTGCTTTATCACAAATAATTGATCAGAATAAGATGTCTAATACTTGAAAACAAAATCATTTCCTTTAGCTTCCTCTAAAACTGAAGTGATGGTTTTAATATTAGGAAAACATCTTATTAACAATCACACATGAGAGTTACGCCATTTTATTCAGTATGTGCAGGAACTGTATAATCCCAGTGGGAATAATGATCTAAGACTGAAACTCATGGGCTTCCTTCATCTGTTGCAAAGTCCCTGATTTCTACTTTTACCACTGCCATAACTCCAACCCAAAAAGTAATTTGAACAGTGTTATTGAGAAAGGTCTAACTCCAAGCACTAAAATTCAACCAATAATTTCCCTGTACTGTGCTTACAGTGGTGATTTTTTATATTATATTTCATAATTTCTACTCAGATTTCTCCATTCTATGGGTGTGAAGCCAATTAGGCAGCCTGTTCCCAGCCCTTTGCTTATATTACCTTATTTTTAATACAATAGCAATTCAAGTGGACCTAACTCCTCATCTTTTCGAGTTCACGCTGAGGCACTTGTTAAATCTACCAATGACTGTGATAGCTTGACTGAAATAAGGAACTCATAATGTGATGTTTTAGAGGAACATGACAGTGTGCTGTCATCCTACTTGTATATTGACAATGAATTTTGTGTTTTTATGCATTGTATGTGTTATCGTTGTGCTATAATTTGATGTTTTAATTTTGCTTGTCTTGTGTCATTGCTTCTTTAGACTGTTTTCATAGGCTATGGACCTAGTTTCAAATTTAAAACCAAGGTTCCACCATTTGAAAATATTGAACTGTATAACGTTATGTGCGGTAAGTTCTTTCCAGTGTGTGTAAAAATAAGTTATTTCCCAATAGTATAATTGTATCTTATGTTGAACTTGTACGTAAGTCATTGGTTTCTTGATGTATTCTGTTATGGAAATAAAGAGGCTAAAGCATTTTTATGTATAACGTTAAACATGAAATGAAAGCTAAATGTGTACAACTTTCAGGAATAAATTTGTGTAGAAGGCGATGGAATTAATGAACAATTGCCAAATAAGTTGCATGTACATGACTAAAATAATTTCATTTTATTTTTAAAAGGAATGAAATGTCAATGATCAACCCTTTAACTTGATCTTTCTGCTATTGTCTACATAATCACCATGAATACTTCTCAGCTATTCTCATTCTGCTGGACAGATCACATTGAACCATTTTTTCTATGGCTTATCACTGATGACATTTCCATTACTAAAATTGTAGCATTTCCATTACTAAAATTGTAATTGCTATATCATCTCAAACTGAATTAATTGGCTGTGGTTCGCTAGCATTGTTGCAGCAAATATGACACCAGGACGAAGAAGAGGTGGTCACTATTAGCAAACCATGAGGAGTTTGGGGATCTTTTCTGTGGAACAGAGAAGGCTGAGAGGTGACTTGATAGAGATCTTTAAGACTGATGGAGTTTGATAGTACAGATCTTAAGAAGATGTTTCCACTTGTGGAGAGTCCAAATCCTAGGGGGTCATAAGTATAAATTAGGTCATTAATATTCAGTAAGGTGCTCAGGAGAAACTTCTTTACAAGGAGAGTGGGTAGAATGTGATATTTAACATCACATTAAGTATGTGAAACAAAGAGCATGCATACATTTAAATGAAAGCTAGCTAAGTGCATGAGAGTGAAAGAACAGAAAGGCATGTTGATAGAACGAAATAATGTAAGGTGGGAGGAGGCTTATGAGGGTTGTAAACACTGGCACTGACATGGGTTGAATGGCTTGTAGGTGTGATGTAAATATTATCATAGTTCAGGCTTGTTTCGCCATCCTGAGACTAGAATCAGGTTTTCATTTCCGAGTTGGGTATGCAGAAGCGGGAAATTTCTTGGCTTGGCAAAACCGTCTCTAGAGAAATAGCTTTGAGGCACAGGATTTTCATTGCATGGGAGCAAGTACTGGAATTGGGCTAGCTGTCCCTGGAAACAGTTTTCAAGTAACTACAGGGGCTGTCAAATGCTGAGGGGGACAATTTAAAGTCTCACCTTTGTGCTCTGGAATTTCCTGCTATTTATAACAAAAGCAGTTAGACCCTTAACCCTTAGCTTCCCACTTACACCACATCACAACCTAAATCCCTCGATCCACCCCTCATTGCCCCCATGGCCCAACATCAACTTAGTGCCAACCCATAACTTCCCACTCATCCCCAAAACCCCTTTAATCTCCATGCTAATTTGGTGCCAATTCATGACCCCTACTCATTCCATGATACCATACAGCCAGAATTCTAACTTAGTGTCAATCCATGGTAATTGAAGATCCCACACGTGGCCCATTACAGTCTTATGCCAACTCATACCAATCCAAGGCTCCCACTCAGTCTTCTCTTTTAAAACCTCCATGCTAACTCACCAAGTCTCCACCATTGATGGACCTTGGGTGCCATGTTGAAGGTTGTGTAGCCAAGCCACACCTTCCAGGTTGGGTTGAATGGGCCCCTCTGTGTTGTAGTATTTGTGTGATGTTTAAAGTGCTTGCAAGTATGTATGTAAAATGTGTTGCTATGATCTTTCAGGCCTATCAAACTAGGAAGATGATATCTGCATATGTTCCATTTGCAGGAAAATGCTGCAACTTGGCTACATATCACTTCAGAAAATACAGTATCTCCTGTGCTGTATAAAAACTGAAAGAACTGTGGATGCTATAAATCAGGAACAAAAACAGAAGTTGCTGGAAAAGCTCAGCAGGCCTGGCAGCATCTGTGAAGAAAAAATCAGAGTTAATGTTTCGAGCCCAGTTCTGAGGAAGGGTCACTGAACCTGAAACATTAACTCTCATATTTTCTTCACAGATGCTGTCAGACCTGCTGAGTTTTTCCAACAACTTCTGTTTATGTTTCTCCTGTGCTGTACATTGGCTTCTAAAAACAATTGGACAAAGTTATGTGTAAAATGGTAGGAATTCACATTAATAACTGAAAATTGTTAAGAAACTAATTACGAAGAGAATTGTTTGTGGTTTTGGTCTCGTTACCTAAGGAAAAATTTACTTTCCACAGAGAGAATGCAGCAGACTGATTCCAACAGGTTTGTTGTATGGGGCGAGATTGAGTCGACTGGGCTGTGTTCACTAAAATTTAGAAGAATGAAAGGGTTTTTAATTGAAAAACATAACATTCTGAAATGCCTGGACTGGCTGGATGGGGGAATGATGTTTCTCTTCATTGGCTGGTCCCGAACAGGGTCATTTCAGACTGAGATGAAAAGAAATTTCTCTTCTCAGAGGATACTGAACTTGTTGAATTCTCTGCCACAAGAGGCTGTAGAGGCAAAATCATTGAATTAAGAAAGCATTAGATGGGTTTCTAGAGATTGAAGAGTCAAGGGTTATTGGAGTAGGACACTCATGCTTCTATTTTAAATGTTTCTTTTAAATACAAATCTTTGTATTCCCAACCTGATATCAAAGGAAGCCAGTTTTCCTTACAAATTAGTTGTACTATGTGTAATTTTATAAGATGGCATTCCCACAAATTATCTTTCAAAAGGTACTGGAAAGTATCTACTTTGATTCCCTTTTTTATTCATTCGAGATCAGCACAATGGCCTTAGCACCGTTTGTCTGCATGATGTCAAACTGCTGTTTAGGTATGCAGTAATCCGATTTCATTGGTTATGAAATGCTTTGAAAATAAACATGAGTTTATCAGAATAGAGATCCAGTAACATACCCTAACTAGTTGTGTTTTATCTATGCAAATCACCACAGCCTGTCTTTTGAATGTGTGAAATTCATTGTCAATGATGTTATGTTTTGCTGCCATACGTTATTAACATGAAAATTACACCAGTCAATATTTTCTTTCCCTTTCAGACCTCCTTGGACTGAAACCAGCTCCTAATAATGGAACTCATGGCAGCATGAATCATATATTGCGGAACCCCCCATTCAGACCATCTATACCAGAAGAAGTGGCTAAACCATCCCATATTGCTGCTTCAGCAGTTCAGGATGATTTGGGTTGCACCTGTGATGAGAGGGTTAGAAAATAATGTCTACATTATCAAACCATTTGCTCATTTTTGAACTGCTGAGATAATGTTTGACCTGGTCAATTATTGTGAAGATCTTTCCTGATAGAGAGATAGTAAGAACTGCCGATGCTGGAGTCTGCAATAACGCAGTGTGGAGCTGGAGGAACGCATCAGGCCATTCTTCCTACCAAGAGATTTCATTCTGGCATCGGTCATTGTAGCCACAATCCCAAATTAAAGTTGCATTGGGACAGGATAACATCATCAGGTCCTAACGTTTCAGTATTAACAAGGTCGTTGCTTGCTTCCTCAGACAATTAAAATGGTGACAGCAGACATAACCTGTTGGTGATGCAGCAGGTAGCATCCATCTATCATTTTAGACCATATCATTCCCGTCAGGTGGGTGGGTTTAAAATCAGGACTTTCATTTCTCCAAGATTATTAAATTAGTGAATAAATGAAAGATTTATAAAATAAATGAAAGCATCAAAGGAGCAGGAAAGCTGATGTTTCATGTCGGGACCCTTCTTCTGAAGAATTTCTGAAGAGGGGTCCCGACCCGAAATGTCGGCTTCCGTTTCCTAATACAGCTCTGGTTTTACCTGAACTGAAAATATTTTGGGATCAGAATCTTTCATTTATTCATTAATTTAATAATCTTGGAGAAATGAAAGTCCTGATTTTAAACCCACCCACCTGACGGGAATGATATGGTCTAAAATGATAGATGGATGCTACCTGCTGCATCACCAACATGTTATGTCTGCTGTCACCATTTTAATTGTCTGAGGAAGCAAGCAACGGCCTTGTTAATACTGCAACGTTAAGACCTGATGATGTTAACCTGTCCCAATGCAACTTTAATTTGGGATTGTGGCTACAATGACCGATGCCAGAATGAAATCTCTTGGTAGGAAGAATTGACCCGAAGGAAACCCGGAAAGTTATTTTGGGGAATGATTTTACTGGTCAGAAAGGAGATGCAGCTGTTCAATCCCTACCACCCCCCTCCCCGGACCCACAACAAAGTGGAAACTCCCTGCTTCATACCTCACCTTAATGAACACCTACCCCCAACTTTGGCTGGTTACCATCCAAAGCTGAACACGTCATGTCAGTTTAGGGTCCCAGCAGTGACTCCCACCCATCCGAAATTTAGTTCTACATCATTCCCACCAAATTCATGCTGGCCTCACTGTTCCAAAATTTACGTGAGGCCAGGAGTTAAGGGTCTTGACTTTATGCTGGTGCCATCGTTACATGGTCTCCCCTTTACCCTGGCTGCTGAACAACACACTCTACCTTGAGTTAAAACCAGAGTTGGAATGTTTGCTTGATTCTCTTTGTAGGTAGTTCTGTCAGCTATTAATTGCTGTTTATGAATAAATCAACTCTCAGATATGCAGCATAGTCTTATTAGTTTATTCACACGTCAAAATCTACTGTTTAGTGACCTTTATACATTTATTTTAATTATCTTAGAACAAAGGAGATGAGCTGAACAAACGCCTGCAGCAGAGGGGAGTAGAAGGTAAGGCTTTTAGAATTGTAAGTACATGCAATTTCAATACTATTTTGTGTTTTCATGAAACTGGCAAAACAATAAAAAGAACTAATAATGAAAATGCCTTGTCGTTATTCATCAGTGTAGTTAATTTTTCAAGTTGAAAAATTACAGTTTTTGTTTTGAATTTCTGTTGGTATGTAACTTTTATATTCATCTTATTGCGTTCTTGATTTCTCTATAGAAAACAAGCACCTACTTTATGGTCGTCCTGCTGTTCTGTACCGTACTAAGTACTATATCTTACATCATCAAGGTTATGTAAGTGGATATAGTGAGACATTCTCAATGCCTTTGTGGACTTCATACACCGTTCCAAAACAGGTTCGTGCTCAGCAGTTTAAAGAGTATTTGTTGAATGTTGCAAGTGATACCAATTTTGGACATTCTTAATGTTGAAATAACAATCCTGAAGTGGAACATGTTTTTTTATTCCCTAACACTAAAACCCTGCACCATAATGGATACAAAAACACATTGAATGTTGGCGGAGTTTTATGGTTAGTAGTGTGGGAAAGAAACAAATTTATTGTTGAATTACAGGTATACATGTATAATTCCAGCCAGTTTTTGATAAAAGTCTCTTTGATGTCAGTTAATACAATATAGTCAGTTTCATCATGTTGAAAGAATTACTTATTTTAAGCCACTGTGATGGATGGTGCACTTGAGTCGATGCAGTTCTAAAGCTGCAGGTCCAACAGTTTGGATGTGCCCATCTGTATCTCTAGCATTGACCCTGGCAAAGTAGGAATGATTGAGGGGGTTCATGTATTTGAATAATCTTGGGACTAGAGGGCCAGCTCTTGGTGCACATCTTGGATATCCACCTGACCAGGTGTTCTGGTGTGATACTCCCAAATTTGTGGTGGTGGGGAGATGTGAACTGGTTGGGTTTGCTAGATCTGCTATCAATGCTTTTATTTTGTGTATCGTTCTGCTATTCTTCCAGGTGTAGGTGCAGGCCATGCATGTGAAAACTTTCAAGTTGGGAGTCCTTCTTCTCAGCCAGCCTGTCTCTTGCACAAACTGTGTCTGGGCTGGACTGATTTCCGCCTGAAATATGCCCCTGTAGAAACTGGCCAGGACCTGCAGCACCCAGCATAACAATTTCAGGTCCTCTGACGCACTCTTGTTGCACTTGTGACAATAATGCCCTGATACAGATACTCATTTGATAATGATTTGCTTTTCTCATGATGATCAAAACAAAATGAGTGTTTTATTTTGTAAACCCTTATTTTGTTGGAAGAGAACTCTGAAATTACCTTCAAAATTGAAAGATGTATTGATACCATTGTAAAGAGCCTTTCACATCCAATTTCAGGTGGAACTGTTTAACCTTCCAGACTTTCTGAACAACTGTGTGAGACCTGATATACGCATCTCTGCAACTCACAGTCAAACTTGTTCAGCTTATAGAGCAGACAGACAAATTTCCTATGGATTTCTTTATCCTCCCAGTAAGTTCACTTGTTTTCTATAACCTTTATGAAGGCAATTGATAAATTTAAATGATAAAACATAACATCGGTACATCTACAGTTTTTACCTGGAAGTCTGACACTATTCACCCCAAGTACACACCAAGCATGTCAGGGTCCTAGCTTGGTTGCTGGCTGCCTGTGTTATCTTGTGGCAATCATATCCAACTGTTCATTTTCAGCCACAATATAGCTTAGGTTCTATAGTTTAGCACTATTGAATGATAATCAAAATACATTGAAATTTTTTAAAATAAACACTTATTTTATCATTAATGCTTAAAATGATCTCATCAACCAACAGCGATTTGACCTCTTGGACGAAAATTACATTTTTATCTCTAATATTTGGATTGGTATTGACTTCTTTTGATTCTGCCATGCTTCATAATGGATTTAAAGTGACCTCAGTGATAGAAAAATGTTCCAGCTCAGTTCATTATACTAGCATTTAAGATTAATTATTGAGCCTTGGCAAAGGGAAAAAAAATCCAGGTCACTCAGCTCAAACACAAGTTTCTGTATGATTTCAGAGATAGTAGGAACTGCAGATGCTGGAGAATCTGAGATAACAAGGTGTAGAGCTGGATGAACACAGCAGGCCAAGCAGCATCAGAGGAGCAGGAAGGCTGACGTTTCAGGCCTAGACCCTTCTTCAGAAATGTGGGAGGGGAAGGGGGTTCTGAAATAAATAGGGAGAGAGGGGAAGGCGGATAGAAGAGAGATCCACTGAGGTTTTTCCGGAGGGAGGAGGGTAACTTCTTCAAGGTAGACATCCTTAGAAGAGGCTTTGCAGTGGGGTTAAAATTGTTTCAGAGCTAGTAGGAACTGCAGATGCTGGAGAATCTGAGATAATAAGGTGTGGAGCTGGATGAACACAGCAGGCCAAGCAGCATCAGAGGAGCAGGAAAGCTGATGTTTCGGGCCTAGACCCTTCTTAGGCCTGAAACGTCAGCCTTCCTGCTCCTCTGATGCTGCTTGGCCTGCTGTGTTCATCCAGCTCTACACCTTGGTTTCTGTATGATTTGTTTGATTTGAAGTTGGAAGTTATATAAATTGCTGAAGGTCAAACCAAGACCTTTAAGGTATGTATCAGCGTGTTTGCTTGAAATTATTGAGAGAGATTTGGAACATGCAAAGCAAGGTTGGCTGAAGAGAATTTAGCTGCACCTGACAATTTTCATAGTTGTTGAAAAAAGAGATTAAAGTATTATGATAAAGTTTCCTTGCATCAATGGAAAATTATTTGTTACCTTGTTCTCTACAAAGAATTAGCAAAATTTAATACTGTAGAAAAGTATTTCTTAGTTATTGCTTGTTTTGTTACTGCCTAATATATGTTTTTGGTTGTTGACATCCAAGACAACACCTAGTATAGTATTATCCACCAACTTCTGATGACAAGAGTAATCCCATGCAATAGAGCCAGCAGCAGAAGTAATGTAGAAGGGGTTCTCTGTTTATTGAACTTGTTGGGCTGTAATGTATTATTTAGATATCTGGTGAAATGGAAATGCTCTTGAAAGAGAAATTTTGAAATCTCTTTCTTGAAAATGGTAAGTGCAAAGTTAGTCTGTTCACACCACTTCCATTTTGTGAAGGATCTCCCAGTATAGGAACCACAAGTGCTCCTCCTGGGATAGATGGATTTAAGATCTCACATAAGGTGGAGGCAAGTACAATTTTGTCATTTAAGAAACATTTGGACAGATACATGGATGGGATAAGCATGGAGGGATATGGACCAAATGCAGGCAAATAGGACTAGATTAATCGTGAAAGTTGGGTAGTATGGGCAAGTTGGGCCAAAGGACCCGTTTCCAAGCTGTAAACCTCTATAGCTCTATGCCTCTGAGACTTATTGGAGGTGACCTCATATTGTTTCACGCAGAATCATAGAACATCACCGCTTTGCACCATCACAGTTAAAATTAAAGGTTTGCATGTTGTTTACTGACTGGAAATAGGGGTAGCTTTTCAGTACTCCATTTTTGTTTTATTTCCTAGATTTTGATTTAAGAGCTCCTGAAATGTAATGTGAATACTAATCCAAGATCTGCTTTCTATTTGAGTGCAAGATCACTTAATAAATAATACATCATGAAACATTTCAAAATATGCCAAGGATAGTTTTTTTATGGTGAAGAATTGAGACTGGATATATCTGAAACCAATTTTTTACTGGAACTGTTTTCCAAGAAACATGTTCCCAAAACTCACCCAGCCTCTTGGTTTGAGATTGCAGCATGTGAATCTCAGCTAATCAAAGTTGGCAAACTGATTTCACTGTCAAATCCTATAAGCAGAATATTCCATCTCTTTGTCATTTGTTTTCACACTTTTATTGTGGAAATGTTACAAATTGTCTGGTCTGCTTGTGAATGACATTTCTACCAAGACCAACTGAAAGATAAGTGGTATTTTAATGGGTAATTGGAGATGGTTCTTATGATGTTAGAATTATAACACTTTCTTCGACAGAATAGTGGAAACCTTAGTGTGACCATTCAAGATAAATAAATGTTAAATCACAAGCACTAACATCTCTTACTTTTAATGGTTATAAAAACTAAATGATAAAATCTAAATGTAATAAAAGAGATTAAAAAAATTCCAATTATATCACAACACTTTGTGGAGGGAGAACACCGAAAGCTTAGCAGTAACGTATAAAATTGATAATATTTTAAACACTTGACTCTCTTAATAGTTAGACAGTGGATGAAAGATTATGTGGATATGCAGAAATTGGAGTTGAGGTTAAAATCATATCAGCTATGATTTTATTAAATGATGGAGTGGGTTTGAAGGGTTGAGTGGCCTATTCTTATTTTTTTTTTGTCCATTTGTACAGTTACTCATCACATAGAAGATTGAGGGTGGGGAGTGTTAAAAATGGGTTATATGCTGAGTTTGCCAATATTTGAATTGAGGCCTTTTCCCAGAACAGTCGATTTCAAACTCACTTTTTCCTCATTTAAATCGAGAGACTATGGGGTAGATTTGTGTCTTCACTAAATGGGTTGTAACCCGACTGATTGTATCAATGGGATGATAATCGGGTGGGGTCTATAAAAGATAGATGATTTTTATCACCGCATTACAGCGCAGGCAGTGAAAAATACAAAGCAAATCACTGTAAATCTCAAACAAAACTAAGATATGCTGGAACTATTCAGCAGAACAGGCAGCATTTGTTGTAAAATTAAAGTTTCAGGATAATAATCTTTCATCAGTGAAAATGACAATTAAACCCAAAACATTTGAGCATTGGAATACTTGAACATGCGATTAGAAAAGAGGACTTTTTAAATATTAATTTAACTTTTGTACTGCTGTACTACAATATTACAAGACAAAGCAACATACTTGATTGGCATCCAGTGCAGCATCTTAAACATTCACCTCCTCCACCACTGCTGTACAGTAGCGTTAGTGTGTACTATGTACAAGGTGAACAGTAGCAATTCCACCATGCTACTTTCAACAGCACCTTCCAAAGATGCAATCTTTATCACTGGGAAGGACAAGAGCGGCAGATACATGAGAACACCACAGCCTATAAGTTCTGCTCCAGGCCTCATATCATCCTGACTTGGAACTATACTGACACTTCTTCACTGTCACTAGGTTGAAATTCTGGAACTCCTTTCTTAACAGCACTGTGATGTACCTGCCCCTGCACAAACTAAGCGATTCAGGAAGGTAGCTTTCCTATACCTCCTCCAAGGCAGTTGAAGGATGGGTAATAAGTCTTAGCACCCAAATATCTTGAGCAAATAGACTAAAAATTGAGCATTTAAAAGCATTTGAATAAGCTAGTGTTCCAGATGGAACCCTCACTATGGGTCACTTTACCTAATTTTGAGAGCTGCTCTTAATTCACCTTGTTTATGATCGAATGATCCAATTTTTGCAATTATTCCTAACTCCTGAGGCTTTTGATCCAATCAGAAGAAGAAAAAAATACTCTGCTTCCTTTTAGTGGATAATTCAACTGAGACTGAAAAATGTTTCCCTTTAGAGATTAGTCAAATGCAAATATCAGACTGGGATTGAAACCTATTTGCTTGTCATTTTAGCCAAATAGAGGAGAATTTGCTTGAAGTGTACGGTCATTTCATAAATGACATTGAACAGTTTCTGCTTTGGAAAATTTCATAAATATGATTCCTCGTAATTATTACTTTCCTATCACCCCCACCTGAATCATGAATCGTTCTTGGAACTTCTCTTCTGTATTTCAAAAGCATGTGTTTCAAAAATACACAGATTATTTGATTTGCTAATTTTTATACTTTATTTTCGGATGTAAATATTTTGTATACTAGAAATATCTCTTATTTTGCAGCTCTTGGTTCGTCACTTGATGCTAAATATGATGCCTTTCTAACTTCAAATATTGTTCCAATGTATCCTGCATTTAAAAGTGAGTATTAATGCTGGAAAGCCAAAAGGGAAGAAAATGACAAATTAAGCAGACCTTTGGAGCTGGATTTAGTTAGGCTTATGATGATCTTATCCAAAGGTTGGAGAACTGGCCAGGAATCCTTGACAATTACTTGGGAGGGTGATATATGATAAAATCAGGCACCTCTGGGCCTCCCGCGTGACTGAAGTTCCTAGTGACAGAAATCCCATGTACCTTAAGCTGCCAGTTAATCAGATTTAGGCAGCTATGTGTAATCACCAAGCCAGCCAGAGTGACAACTGCTGACAGCACTGCAATTGCCACCAATGACAAGTGATGGTAAAACCGAGGTCAAGATGCTGGGAGTGGGTGGGTCAAACATGAGGACTGGAAGTTGCTTGCTCTCAGTGCCCCTGTCTCCTTCCTGATGCTGGGTCCCCTGATCAGGCACACGCACAGTTCACAGGGACACCTTCTGAGAAAGTTAGGAAGCCATCTGGCTCTTGTTGAATCCCTGAGACATCACTGAATTGCAATGGCCTGACCGATAATGGGTGTTGGGGGGAGTGGGGATCAAAACTAGAGGGGCATAGGTTTACAGTGAGAGGGGAAAGATTTAAAAGGGACCTAAAGGGACAACTCTTTCATTCGGAGTGTATGGAATGAGCTGCCAGAGGAAGTGGTGGAGGCTGATACAATTACAAAGCTTAAAACGGCATCTGGATGCGCACATGGAAAGGAAGGAGTTTAGCAGGATATGGGCCAAATGCAGGCAAATGGGACTCCATTAGTTTTGGATATCTAGTCGGCATGGATAAGTTGGACCAAAGGGTCTGTTTCCGTGCTGTACAACTCTACGACTCTTGCTGTATGAGCGTAGTTGATGTCCTGCCATTGGTGCCTGGCAATGCCATGGTCAGCTCCTTCCACCCTTTACTATAGGGATATCCTCCCACTGCTAGAAGACCGAACTGAGCACCACATTCATGGATCCTTCTGACCGGCTCTTAGTTTCACCTTTTTGTGGAGGTGCTGGTGTTGGACTGGGGTGGACAAGTTCAGAAGTCACACGACACCAGGTTAGAGTCCAACAGGTTTATTTGAAAACACAAGCTTTCGGAGTGTAGCCCTTTCGTCAAGTGAAGTCTTTCCACCCTTTTGTTGTTGAGAACATGGTAATTTGGTTTGACCACTAGATGGAGTCAGAATCACTTTTGTGTTTGACTGGTTACTCTAAGGTTGTGATCACTTGTTAATGATCCCCTCCTTGCCAGTGATTCAAATTGGACTACCTGCTCTGGGCTGTCCTCAGCCTAGTGAAGAGCAAAGTAGTTTTTAGCTGTGCTAACAGCATAGCATGGAACTGTTAGTTAATGATGTATGAACCTAAGTGTTTCCAGGCTGCTCTACAGCCTTTCAATTGTATTTGCAGTGCTTAACCAAGCTGTCAATTTCATATCATTAATATATAATGTTTGTGAGATGGCCATTTTAAACAGAGGCTCACCTTGTTGCAAAGTAATGTCTGTTATGTTTGAAGCTTTGTGTTTATTAATAATTGTCCTGTCTTCATCAGCTGCTTTATTTTTGTTCTGATTGTTGCTATGCAGGAGTGTGGAACTACTTTCACAAGGTAATGGTGAAAAGACTGGCCACAGAACGGAATGGAATTAATGTCATTAGTGGTCCAGTGTTTGATTATGACTATGATGGTCTCTATGACACACTTGATAAAGTAAAACGGTAAGCCTAGTCTAGTTTTAGTCTTATCTAAATATAAGGCAGTGCATTTTATTTGTATTTTCATAGGCCGATCCCGTGGTGACCTCAGATTAGCTATTTGCCGATACCAATACGCTCTCGATTAACTGTGCTGACCCCGCTCAACACATAATACAGGGCCTGCAAGCTCGGTTTTACTAATCTGATCAAATCTGCAGGCAATTTGTCTGTAGGACAAGATTTTGTTTTTGTGATGCTTTCAGGCAACCTTTCATTTTTAGTGAAACAAAAGCCAAAGAGCTGCTTATCAAAAGTAACGTCCATTGTATTTGAAGTTTTGTGTTTGTTAATAATTGTAATGTCAAAAGTGGTGCTGCTGCAGCCTACAACACTCTAAGAATTTCCAACTCATTAGTTAATGAAAATAAGTTACAAAGTTCCTGTTATGAAATGTGTCAAGAGGGTAAATCCTTTTTCTTTTCCTCTTTTTACTTGCTCACTTGAGACCCTATCCCATTGGTTTGTCTTAGCCTATATCTTCAGACTGACCGAAAAATTCTTTGGTGTTTCCCCAACTCTTGTGTCATTACTTCACCATAAAGCTCCATTTCCCATCATAAATGGGGTACTCTGTTTCAATTCTAGCCATGTAATACTGCTGGAGTGAGATCAATCCCATGTATTTCCTAATACCTTTTCACCCATAAGATGTTTGTGTGAAGGTAGATTGTTGAGCTTCAAAGAGCCTAGTGACACAAAAATTTGCAAGACCCCGTTTTTCTTTCTTTATTCATGAGCTGGGTAGGCCTACGTATATTGCCCATCCTAGTTGTCCTTGAGAAGGTCCTGGTGAACTGCCTTCTTGAACCACTGCAATTCCTATGATATAGGAGTGTCCACAGTACTGTTAGGAGGAAGTTCTAGGATATTAACCTAGTGATTGTGAGGAATAGTGATATAGTTCAAATCGGGACAGTGTGGGGCTTGGAAAGAAACTTGCCTGAGCGAGTGTTCCCAGGCTTCTGCTGCCCTCCTGGATGCTCGAGGTTATGCATTCACAAAGTGCTTGCCAAGAAACCTTGGCAGGTTGCTGCAGTAGATGATGCACATTGCTGACACTCTGTCACTGGTGGGGGGAGCAGATATTTAAGGTTGTGGGTGGTGTGCCAATAAAGCTGGATGGTCTTCAATTTCTTGAACATTCTGAAGCTGCATTCCTTCAGGCACATGAGCCTGCTGAGTGTCCACCTCTTAGGAGTGCGAGCCGTACTCCTGACTCGTGTCTGGTGATCTGGCTTTGGGGACTCAGAAGGTGAGTTACCCATTGCAGAATTCCCAGTCTGTGACCTGCTCCTGTAGTTGCATTTACATGGTGAGTCCAATTTGGTTTTTGGTCAGTGGTAATCATGAGAATGTTGATGGTGGTGAATTCAGGAATAATGATGTCATTGAATATCAAAGGGAGGTAGATGAATTCTCTCTTTTGTTGGAGATGGTCATTGGTTGGCACTTGTGTGGCCTGACTTTGTTTTCAGTGCAGACTTGATGGGCCAAGGGCCTGTTCTGTACTGCATGTCTCTATGACTGTAACTTTCTCTTAATCAGTGCAAATCTGAATGTTGTCCAGACCTTGTTGCATGTGGGCACAGACCACAATATCTGAGGACCATCTAATCACACTGAGCATTGGGCAATCATTAGCAAACATAATCAATTCTGACCTTATGTTAAATTGAATGACATGAAAGCAGCTGAAAATGTTTGGGCCTAGGGTTCTACCCTGACAAACCCCAGGACTGAGATTATTGACCTCCACCAAGCAGAGCCATCTTCCATTGTGCTAGGTAAGACTCCAACCAGTGGTGAATATCCCCCAATTCCTAATGACTTCAATTTAGCCAGAGCTCCTTAATGCCACACTCGATCAGATTCTGGTTTGATATCAAGAGCTGCCACTTTCACCTCACTTTCAAGTGTGCCATCAGGATTGACAGAAGGTGCAAGAAAAACAAATAATGGAATAGGAAACAAATGACGGAAGGTTGTAATGAAAGGAGGATGAAATAAAAAGCAAAAACCTTTTCATATCATGAACCATAACAGTTTGGCCAAGAAGTAAAATGTATGATGTCCTTATAGATCTGTGTAGGAGGTACTTTCCTGAGTAACCTACAGTAACCTACACATCAGGAGTAAGAAAGGAGGAACTGAAGGACTAACAATGATAAATGGGCAGTGACAAGAAGGGAAATAGCTACAGAAAATTGCGAAGAAGTAAATGCTAGTAAAACTGGGGGCAAAAACGTAGTAGTAAAGTTCTCAAATTATCACCAGCTTTTAAAGGAATACATCCTTGTTGGATGATTAAGTTGATTGCCATGAACAAACTGGCATGATGGGTTTGATGTGGTGGCACTGCTGGCAGGGCTTGCACTCCCAAGAGCTGGATGCTCAGCAGCCTCAGCACTGCCACCAGAAGAGATGGCCACAGCTGGGGCTGTACATGGAACAGCAAGACCGATCTAAGGACATGAGCCCTAATGACCAGGTAAGTAAGGTCACAGTGTGCCAGGACCAGCAGGCAGCCCCCTGTGAATTGAAGGGATGGATTGTTAAGGCAGGAGGTGTCACATGCTGTGGTAGGTCATTGTTTCCCTGCTGTGGATGAAAGGATGTTAGGAAGGGAGAGCCCCTCCATGCCAAAGTTGGGGGGAATAGTGGAGGGCTGCTACAATACACTTGGCAGTCCCCACATGTGTCACTGGTTAAATGAGAAAGGTCATCAAGTGGCTTAATTGGTCTCTGAGTGGGAGGGCTATTCTCTGCTCACAGCAGGTTTGCAAGCTGTTGGGAAGACAGCAACTGTCTGCATCATTTGATGCCTATCGCACTTCTCAGGCCATCCCTTAAGGGCAGGTAAGATCCAGTCCATTAATCCACCCCACTCTATTATGTAGGTATTGACACCATGTCTGTGCAAAAGAAATAAAACAGGTTGTACCTATGAAATGGGCCCGGTCAACAAAGGTCTGATAAACAAAAGAAAAGATGTAGATAAAGGATCTTTTAAGGTTTTGAAAAGTGCAAACAGTATCAAAAGCTGTAGAATAGTGTGGTGTAAATTTAAAAAGAATAGAAAGAGAATGGAAAAGCAGAACCAGGGAGAAAAGGCAAGAGGAGGGCTTCAAATCTCTTTGGAGTTAAGTTTTTCAGTGAACATTTATTATGTAATAAGAGTTAGGGTTGGTCCTGAGTATTGATATAATACCAATCACTGTTTCATTATTCACAGCCAGCAAGGTAAAAATATTTCTAAAATCTATTGACCCAAAGAGAATAGGAAACCTTTGATTCTTCTGCCAATCTAATGGTTAAAAGCCGTGATGCTGTTGGTTCTGCTATAACGTAATAGTTGCGTTCCTGCACAAATTCACATTATAGAAAATCGCACTGTAGAAATAACGGGGCTGATGGGAAAAGCAGGATTAGGGGCAGACTGCCAAAAAAAACTGACTCAAGGATCACTCAGAAGCCTAACACAAAGGATCGCACAGTTTGAATAAATGTTTAATTCATATCTAATAATGAAATAAAAGTAAATTTCATACCTTATCTTGAAAAAAATGTCAAAATGACTTGAAGGGGGGGTGGTTTTGAGGTTGCTCTGTCATTAATGCAGGGGCTGAGGGTCATCATCATCATCACCTTCAGGTGCAGTTGTGGTTGCAGGGTTAGGGTGAAAAATAGTTAATCCAGAAGCGGGTGGCTGTGGTTCATTGTCTTCTGGCTGTTTCTTGGGGGTTGGCTTAAAAAAGACATCCAGTTTTTGCTGCTTTGCCCTTTTTCTTTTTTCATGAAGAAGCTGCTCATGGGATGCCAAATAAGATCTTATTCCATGAACTGCTACCCTGCTGCATTCTGCATTGTAATCATTGACCTCTGAGAGCTGAACTGCTTCTCAATTTCCCTCAGAATAGAAGACAAAACAGAAGTGGAAAGCTGTCATGATGCTGCATCCTGAACTTCATCTTCTTCATCCACAGCTTCCACTTCCCCATCAAGCACAAGTTGTTGTAGATCAGCTGTAGAGAGGTCTTCACAATGGGACTCAAGAGCTCTTCAACATCCTCACTCTCCACTTCTTCAAATCCAACTTGCTTTGCAAGATCAACACAATGTTCTTTGGTTCATGGGAGCTGCTCTGACGGATCAAAGCCTTTAAAATCTTGAAAAGAATCTGGGAGAAGTTTCCGCCAAACTGCATGCAAGCAGTCTTTACTGACATCACCCCAGGCTTCCACGATAAGGTCAATTGCATTCTTGATGTTAAAGCTCTTCCAAAATTGAAGAACACTGTGTTTATCCCGCTCAGTGGCTGCAATCAGCCTCTTAAATGTGCACCTTAGATAATAAGCTTTAAAAGCTGCTACTGCACCCTGGTCCATGGGTTGATGGAGGGAGGTTGTGTTTGGGGATAGAAATAGCATTTTGATGTTTTCAAAAAGCTCAGCAATGGTTGGGAGATGGTTTGGCGCATTATCCAGACTGAGGAGAATCTTGAAATCCAAATTTTTTTTCCTGCAATACATTCTAAAAACATCCTCCAAAACATCAACAATAAGGTCAGGAAAAATTGCCCCATCATCCAACCTCTTTTGCTTGACCTAAAGTAGAGGAGACTCTTTCGGCGTTAACATTGCGCATGCTCAGGACAAAGCCCGCAAAACGATCATGTGATGTCGACACATACTCCTCCACGCACCAATGGAATCGCGTTATAGCCAACACATGTTTGCATTTTAGAAATAGCGTTCCCCTATTCGTCAGTCGTGTTATAGCTAATTTGCATTGCGGGAACACGTGTTATAGCAGAACAGACTGGTGTTACACCAGGTAAGGGAGGGTGAAATAGCTTTCCTCTTTTCCCTTTTCTGACAGTTTTTTTTTAACTCTGTAAAGGATATACTTGCCAATTTAATGAGTTCTTAACTGTTTATACACTGTAGCCATAGTAGAACTAGTTAGAAATGTTTTCCTGAGTTTGCTCACACAGGTCTCTCACACACACGACCGCATGCACTATCCAGTTTGCTGGTGGGTGACTTGGCTAGCTTCAGACTGAATACTTTAATCTTATGACTTCTTTGGTATAGATGCATCTGATGTAATGATGTAGATGGCCAATTTGGTTATTCTAGCGACAGCAATGATGAATTGAACTCTTTTGGGGAAGTTGCCATATGCAAAAGAGTGTCCCTGGATGGTCACAGTCATCAAATTGCGCTTGAAGGTTATCAGGTTGGTTGGAAAGAAAGGGAAGCAGGAGACACCTTTGTCACCTCACTCAGTGCCTCTTTTGCTTATCTTCAGTTTTGCTGAGAAAACTGGTGCTTAAAGCATTGAATGGGTTGGCTTCTCACTTGTCCTTCCCTCTCCAACTGCCTAGGGAATCTAGTTAGGTTTATTGTCGGTAGGTCAATAGATCACGCCCGGAAACTCTCTTTACTAGGATTTCATTGCCCGGGATATCGGGCTTTAATGACTTGTCTCCAATACTTGAATATTATTGCCTTTGCTTATGGAACAGCAGATATGTGTCCTTCGTATTCCCCACAATGTCATTGTGTTTGGTGGGTTTAACAGACTTGCTGCTGTTATACCTCAAAAGATAACCATATTTAAACAGAACTCAAATCCACAGTTCTATGTGACAGCATAATTTCAGTTAGTCACACTCTATAAAATTCACATACCCAATGACTATCTCTCCATATTTATACAATCAATTCATGCTGAATTGTGTTCCTACCCCGAAAGCAGGAGGCCTGTGTTTAAGTCCCACCAGCTCCAGAAGTGTATAATAACATCTCCAAGCAGGTTGATTATCTGTAGAATGTAGAGTAGGATCTTGTGGTGGAGTGGTAGTGTTCCTATTTCTGGTCCAGAGGATCCAGGTTTAAGTCCCACTTAGCCCCAAATGTGTCACAGCATGTCATGGAGATCTATAGCACAGAAAAATGCCCTTTGACCTACTGGGTCTGTGCCAGACATAAGCAAGCTGTAGAATGTACAGTAATGTAATCTTGTTAGCCTCTCTTTTAACAAGTCTGTTTTTAAAGGTTCAGTTCATGTTTCCAGTCAATGAGGAAAATCATTATTTGACACCAAGTATGTTTTCATGATAATGTCTTTACACATTTTCCATAAATTTGTCAGTGTTTCTCTACATAAACTGACTTCTTTTTCAGCAAATAATAAGCAAACTGTTAAGAAATTATTGAAATGCTTACTCATTTAAACTGTAGCATAAATTATCCATCACCTTCAAAAGGAATGCTCACGATATGTTTACAGATCTAATTCATTATCAGTTTTTTTATAGACAGGTCACTTTGCTCAAAGATACTAAAATTTCCATGAAGCTATTTGTCATTTGAGAGTTCATTTGTTGGCTTGGAAAGTTCCACTCTGCGATGTTAATGTGAGCAAATATGGGTTGGCTACCAGCTTAAAATTAACCAAGGAACTTTAACTTCTGAACACTGACATTATTGCTTGGTTCCTATGTCAAATATTTACAGAACAGTATTCAAGGAAAGGGAGTACTCCAATCTAATGCTGTAAAATTTCAGCCAACATTAGTATTTGCTGGTAAATCCTGATTATAATGTGTTAATAGTGGAGCCTTGTACATGCTTGCTGATGAAGCGTGCATTCCCCTACTATTAAAAACATTATAATCCAGTTTTAAAAACTTCAAAGGAAATGAAAGCATGTCATGAGGTTGTTTGAATTGTGTTGTGGCATTGACATAGTGTTATACTGAAGCTGATGCAAACTCAGTCATGTTGACTCCTGGAGGGTCATTTCGCACTATTTGGCTTTAGTGCATACAGGCCAAAACTGCTGCTTTTTCACTTGCACATCCAAAACCATTTTGGACAGATACAAAATAACAGTATGGTATATCCTAAATTATTAAATTTTGAAAGGCTTTCTTACAGCAAATGGGGAAAGACTGCTGGAGAAGCTGAAGGTGAGGATCACCAAAACTAAAATTGAGAAAATCTGGAGAGAGATTAGGATAGCTGCCTTTATACACAGTCTTCTTTGAGTATGGTACATACATGTCTGTGGTTGAAGAAGAGGCTGTCACATCTCATTACTGCAAGATTGCAGAAATTTTGAAAGTTGCAGAAGATAGAGGGTTATGGGAAGAGGCAGTAAAATTAATTTTGCATTGCTGCAGAAAAATTCTGGCAATATCTTTTAGTTTGAAAACTTCTATGGTTTTACTCCTCCACCACACTAGAAAAAGTTTAGAATATCCGTGACCACTAAAGATGAAAATGCCCATATTTCTAATTGACAAATCTAGTTGAACTTTCTCAGGGGGTCACTGGGCCAATGCCTGTGAATATGATCTATACGGAGTTACAGAAAATGTTGTTGAATTGTTCACAAGAGGTCATTAGCTAAAATGACAGCACGTGGAACTGAGTGTTAACCTGATAATATGGGCAGGTAATTATTTGGGAGCTAAGAGACAAAAGATAGTGATAAAGGATTCATTTTATGATTGGCAGGATTTGACAAATGTCTTCCCAAGCATCCATACTGATGTCACGGTTTCTTATCACAAAAATGTTCATTACTTGGAATAAGGAATAAAGAGTTGTGTATGATATCAGTAGAGATCAATAATGTTTTAATTTTTTTAAAATCTGAAAGCAGGTATTTCCTAAAGAAAGGAAGCCACAAGGCTCACAGCTTAAACTAAAATAAAAATTTGCTGCACAGAAATCAAAATATCTGAATCAGGTCACAACTTAACTGGGAAAAGTTTGCTGATAATCATGCTGCACTGTTCCACAATCCATTACAAAATGTATACTATAACAGTGAGACCACTCAAAGTGATTGATTTGCCTGATTCACAGGACAAAAGCAATTCTTAATAGGTTTTATTAGTAAAAAAAAAGAAAACACAAAACTTTAATGAGAAGTGAAAAGAAAGAATTTCCAATCAACTATTACTCACCCCTTAGAAACCTCAAATACACGTACACACTCATTCATGATTATGACATACAAAAGGCAAAGTGTTTAATACGTATACTGTGGATGGAAAAAGAATATAGATTGGGTAAACATGATTCCAAATATCAAAAGTTTAGACCATATGGAGGCAAGTTATTTTGTGTATGGTACCTTAATGGCTACCATCTCTGGTTTGAACTCTCCTATTTCCAATATGCTTTAACGATAGGGTTTTATATCTAAAATTCTTTTGCTCTCTTTTTTGGCGATACCAGAGATCCAAATCACTATTAGTCGACTTGCTACATTAATGAGAGTTTCAGCTCTTTTTGCCAACTCCCAGAATTTCAACTGAATTCTGCTGGAAGAGATGCTTCATTCATTGCAGCTTATTCAAAGGTCTCAAACAAAACTTGAATGCAGAAGCCCTCTTCCCCTCCCCTCACCCCAAACCTGTTCATCCCTATAATTAACTGGCTGTTCTTCGTTTGCTAGAGTGTTCACCTCCCAGCCAACCTGGTCACATGATTACTTACTGGAACCAAACAACTGCTTCTCCAGAAGTCATACCTAATTCTTGAAGGGACCAACACCCATACAGAATATATATTCCTTTTCCCTAAATGCGTTTGGATCAAGACATTTGTATTTCTAAGCTTGCAAGTGGCCGTAACTCTGGAGACACAATAATTCTTATGGATGGGAGTTGGCAGTTACCAAGGAACATTGTTGTTTTTTTCTGCTGATTTAGTCTGTTTATGGTGAATGTTGTTCAGTGTATCAAAATGTGAGAATATCTACTCTGGATTGAAGAAAGTCATAGTGTGATTTCTTGGAGCAGTGGAACGGCAAGGGGATTGAGATATTCCTGTACACAAATTGTGAAAAGCTGGTGCATGGTTAAAAGGTAGTTCAAAAATAATGGAATATTGACCTTTTTAAATCAAAACTGGTGAAATTGCAAAGCTTGGAACTGATGCTTCAGTTGCATTTGCCCTTTGGTCACTTGTGTTGATGGAATACTGGAGGTTGTGTTGTACAGCAACCATCAGCAAGTATGTGCTGGCCCACAGGGGAGCAGCACAGATTCATCAGTATGTTAAAAGGTTACATTATGTGAGTCACTATGTCAGAAGAGCTTGTCATAGAAATAAATACAAGGGTACGCTTTGTTTACCAGTAGGGCAGTACCCACAAATCTCAGTCTGAAAATGCACTATTATTATGAGTTGCTGGGTTACTTGCTTGACCTTCCTAACAGACAATTGAAAAATATTCAAAGTTTGTTTTCTCTTTCAGGCAAGTTGATGGATCAATCCCAGTCCCAACTCATTTCTACAGTATTATTACCAGCTGCCTGGATAGTACTCAGCCTGTGGACAAGTGTGATGGGCAACTCACTGCGTCATCATTCATTCTTCCACACAGATCTGACAATGATGAAAGTTGTAACGTAAGTGGAGAAAGCCCTGATGTGGAGGTGCTGGTGTTGGACTGGGGTGGACAAAGTCAGAAATCACACGACACCAGGTTATAGTCCAACAGGTTTGTTTGAAAACACAAGCTTTCGGAGCCTCTTCACCTGAAGAAGGACTGAGGCTGCGAAAGCTTGTGTTTTCAAATAAACCTGTTGGACTATAACCTTGTGTCATGTGATTTCTGACCAAGTGGAGAAAAGCAGAAGCATTATATAATACTATGTAATAACCATTGTGTAATAATGAGAGGAAGGAATTCACTCTGAAGAAAATACCCCAAGAGTCAAATTCATTAGTTATGGGGTCTTTCTGGCCCTGAATTACACAGTATATACCATTACAGTTTTTGTTTTTTCTACTAACCAACTTGATAGAATGGCTATAAACACTTATGTTGGTGCACGGGAATAAGAACCACTGTTAACTATACCTATGTACTATAAAGGATCTGTGGTTTATAGGTGAGGTGGCTAAATACCTATCAGTTTTAATTGAGTTTTTGTATCATATAAAAGTGCACAGAATACTGAAGGAATCAAATTGAAAATTTAGACAAGAAATAATAAAATGGTTTTAGCCTGAGAAATTTCATTTTGGAGATGGAGGCAAAATAGATTCAACACCTTAAAGGCTTCACTGTGGATAAATATGAATAAATATAAAAATAAATGTAAGTATTCACACTGTGTATACCACCTTATGTGATACTGTACCACACTGACCAGCAACATCCAAGATGCAAGCTCTTCTGTATTATGAATTAGCTAATCTGAGCTAAAATGGCAATGGGAATGCTTCCATATATAAAAAGGTTCTCAACTCTGATCAGCATTTGTTGAGCCCTGTTGAAGAACACAGGTCAGGAACCTCGGCTCAGTTTGAATAGTCTATAACACTGACTATCGAGGTCATTAAGTATGGCTATTTGAGAGATGTACTGGCTGCAGGGACCAATCCAAAGAATGGCATCAGACATAAAATGTTCAGACATAACTACTTGGGTAGTGGTATACTCGAAAAGGAAAAGGGAAGAAAACTGAAAGATGAAAGTCATGGGCCAAACACTGATAGAAAGGAATTCTTTCTCAAGAAATATCACACAATGCAATACTAAAGTAATGATATAAAAACTCAGTAACTGTGATAGATATTTAGCTACCTCACTTATAAGCCTCAGATCCATTACAATACGTAAGTATAGGTAACAATCAATATATGTTTCTTATTCCCAGACACCAGTGTAAGTATTTATGGCCATTCTGTCAAGTTTGTTAGTGCAGAAAACTGTTCAAGGATGTATGCTGTGTAATTCAGGGCCAGACAGAACCATCACAAATAGATTTGACACTTGGGTCTTGGACATTTTCTTAAGCGTCATTTCCACACCATTTTCACCAATACCAAATTCCCTCGCAACAACACAGTGAACTGATTATTTAACAAATGTGTTTAAGTCCAAAATGACTCCTCTTCTGAACCTCATATAATACAACACAGGTATTTAAGATACATATCGACAGGACAAATCCTGTGTGGTTAATGATGAAAAGAAATGGATTTTCTAGCAGTTTGAACAAAATATGAATATGGTTTCAAGCTAAAAGATGTAACGTTGGCTAAATCATTAATTCGCTGTGCTGTTGTGAGGGTTTGGTGTTGGTGAAAAGCTGGCCTGAGAATGGGAGAGGAAGGAATTCACCCTGAAGAAGATGGCCGAGTGTCAAATGCACCATTAGGACAGGGAATACCTCCTGCCTGATCATCAGAGGCACATACTGGAATGGGTCCTCGAATTATTAAAATAGTTTCATCGTTATTAGAAATGCAGTGTGTTTATATGCATGTATGTGGGCCAAATCAAATTCTGTGTCCATACAGAGCAAAAGCTAGTCGGTGTAACCGCTTAATGGAGCAAAAACTTTTAGTGTGGCATGAGCAGACCCACACTGCCAAATGTCCTCGATGCCAAAGTGACCAGTTTCCAACAATTCAGTGTCAAACAGGAGTCCTTGTTATGCCACATTAGCAACATGGATGGAGTGTTCATGACTTTCAATTTGTCTAGCAACCAAGTTATGGACTGAAAAGGTTTGAAAGCAGTTCTAGCGAAAACACAGGACATGAGACGACAGGATAATGATAAATACTAGTTTGCATAGCCAGCTTAAAGCCTATTTTAATTCTCAAACATACCAAATCCAGTTGCCTGCAGGAGTTTTTGTGCATGTCCATAACAATGATTAGATGGATGAGAATGGAGTGAAGTTATGCATTAATAACCTATGGAATAGGCAACTCAGTGGCTTATGTATGGAATAGCTTAGTGTGGGGGACATTCAGATCCCATCAGATCAAAAGGTATCTGGAAGGAAAAAAGCACCCAAATTGCAGTTATATCTGGGATGTAACATCTGTAGCATGTGCCTCAATAAGTCAATCAAGAACCATGATGAAGCCAAATGGAATAGATGGACGGTTATTGGAGGGAAAAAAACTGTCAGAAGGAGTGGAAAAAAAGTGTGCTACCTTGATATTTTGTGTCAAATCGTGGGATGTTATTAGTGCACAAGCTTCATCATATCATTCAAAAATGCAGAATCTCCAATTCAGTGGATGGCAGGGGAAGGTGCTTTGTTGTGGAGAGATGTTTGAGAAAGTGAAATTACCACACTTGATCCAGAGTGGGATCCTTCAGATGATGCCATGGCCAAAGTGACTCAGAGTGAATTCAGTGACTTCTTTACATCAGATAGTGAAGATAAATTTGATGGGTGTAGAAATGCTTTCATTGTGGTTAAAATTTGTGCAATTAATTTATTTGTAAACCATGCCACATTAATTTACTATAGAGTCCCAACCTCTTTTAATCACATTTTAACTAGTGAGCATCCACACCAGCAGTTTCCCCTTTTCTGGCAGGTTTATTTACATGCTAATATCCATGGTATTGTAATATCTTTTATAACATTCTGGATTGCTATATTAGTGAGCTGACAACACACTCAGTTTACAGTTATCTTCTTGAATGCATACCAGATTGATGGGATGAAAGTTTTTCTCCCTCTGGTTGTCTGCAAAGGGCTTGCAAGAAATATACACACATTAAAAAGGGGAAGAGAGAGGCTGTGAGGCTCAACAATGTTCATTGTATAATACATATGGAGTACTGTGCTTTCCAACATACCAGTTAGCTGATGTGCTAGCTTACAACTAGCATGTAGTTACATTCTATGTATAGAACAATACCTTCACAACAAAAATACATCTAGAACAAATTTTGTATATTTCAGAGTAACGATGATGAATCAAGATGGGTTGAAGACCTTATGAAGTTACATACAGCACGTGTGCGTGACATTGAACACCTCACTGGTTTGGATTTCTACCGCAGGACTAGCAGAGCTTACCCTGAAATCCTTTCTTTAAAGACATTCCTACAGACGTTTGAAAGTGAAATCTAAACCTCTTGTGTATTTGTTGTTCTCACAGTACATCTTTTCCTTACAGGTGTATATTTTTTTAATACTTTTTTGTATTTATTAATTCAAACCATAGAATATTTTAAAGGCTGTTACTTCAAAGCTTTGCACCTAATGTCACACTTAATAACAAGCATGTGTCTTCTTCCCCACCTTTGTCATTATTTAGCTGTTTGAGTGATGTTTGTGTTTAACTGTTTGTACTACTGTGGCTTTTGTTTTTTTGCCTAAGATTAGGACTGGAGCCTACAGGATTAAAATTTGCATTGATAAAAATCCAAGATTATTCACTGCATTGTTTGTTCTGTAATTTCTGTCCTGCATATTATAATAGGACGTATAAAGCAATTATATTTCAATGTTGCTGAGATGAGGCCAACTTATATTTGTGCTTCATATGCAAATTGTGTCACAATTATTATAAACCTTAAGTCAAATTGCAACAATGGTGCTTTGATTCGGGAAGAAACAAATAATTTGCCCGTCAAAGAAGTAAAATGTTATATTAAATGTGAAATAAGCAAGCTCCTACTTACTCTTCCATGCACATTACAGAGACGCTGTTAGCAGAAAAGAACTATGGGACCTGAGAGGTCTAAAGGGAATGGGAAAAAAGAAAATAGTATAGTGGCTGCTTTTATCTTTTGAGGGGGCATCTTTCCTCCTTTGATGTTTGTTCAGAGTTTTTATTGGAATTATTATGTGTATAGATATGTTCTGGAATAAACTGCGATCCATACAACATTTTCTTGAAACCTATATTTTAAAAATGTGCTTTCTTCCATGACAGTAAATCTTGAGACAACCAGCTTGCATTTTAAGAGTAATCTTACATTAAATATGCTACAACTTGAGCAACAGGCAACTGCAGTGGCTTTTTGAACAAGGAATTCAGGTTTAAATATGCAGTTCAGAATAAAGATCATGAGAATGCTTCACAATTTTCCTGATTTTTTGGGTGACGGTTCTCATGATGGTCTGCCTCAGTGGAAGAGCTACAGAAACGGTAGTTATACAGTTTTCCAAGGGTAGAAATGGGAGAAATCGTGTGGGAATAACACCTTGTCTTTTTTTTGAAGAAATATAAATTTGAAATTAAAGCTTCAAAAAATGAATAAATTAGCATGAATTTAACAAGCATAGAGCTAAGTTGGTGCAAAATAGCATGAGCTGGCATACAATGTTGAAGCAACTTGGCTAGAACATTACACGTAAATGTTCTGTTTCAGTTTTGAGCATGTTTCTGGGATATACCTGGGAAAGCATGAGGTGTGAGCTGTCTCATGTATTTGAAAAAAAACAAAACAAGAAACAAATTTGTTTCCTCTTCAGTTTAGCTTTCAGATTAAAATAGTGCCTGGATTTCTCTTTCCTCATGGATGTGGGATCTGTTTCAGTTGAAATACGCACAAATTCCAGAACAGAAGAACTACATAAAAACTTGCCAGATAACATATACAGTGTGTTCTGATAATGAATTGACTAAATAGTGTTTTGTTCATTTTGTACTGCTATCTCCATGTTTTCCATTTATACTGAACTGGAGGGAGTGTTGATACAGAATGTACACAGTTGAATTGCCCTGGCACAATAGGTCATTTCTGTGTAGTGGGTTTGTAAATCAAAATGGAAACAAATAAACATAATCGTGTAAAAGAAACTTGATCATTGTACTGTAGTATTTACTTTGTATATGTTCATTGCTTTTGGAATAATGTTCAAAACATAATGTGCAGCCAGGATTACTAAAAGCACTTTCAGTAGATAAATTTTGACATCAATGTTTCTGCTCATTGGACAGAACACTTCCTGTCGTGTTGACTCTGAAATGTAGATGAAAGCTGGTTGCATAAGGCTGGCCTGTATTACTCATGAGTTCAGTCAAGACCTTTGGACATAAAGCAGGAGGAGACTCACTATCATCCTTCATCAGTGTGAATTCCACAGTGAAGCATCCAACAGTTTGAAGTCGGCTTTAGATGTGAAAGAATAAAACTTTTAGAATGTACTTGAGATGTGCACTTGTCTTCAGTTCATCCCACAGTGCTCTGTCAATTAAATTACGGTCATTGCCTAAATCAACAATAATGTTCACTTCATTACCACCAACAATCACTAGGGATTTCTCGTGGCTGCTCCTAATGACTGGAAATGATGTATCCATGTTTACTATTCATGTCCTGACTCTCTGCAGCACTTTCAAATTGTCTCACAGTTGTGTTTCTTCAATCTCTCCTTCCTTTTCAGGGTTTGGCAGATTTTCCTCTCTGTCCAGTTTTACTTCTGCAATTGTTCAAAATGGTCCTTACTCCCATTTTTTTTTTGCATTTCTTCCCCCTGGCAGACAGAGTAGCTACATCCGAAACCTTCCCTCTCACTGACTGTTGCAGTTTACATTTACATGCACCTGGATTCTGTTTTGGGTAATTCAGTTAACCTCAACTTTTGTTGTGCTGATGGAAGAGGTGGGACCAGGATTTCATACTGTCCACCCACAGCTTCCAAAATGGCTGCTATTCTCAAAGTGTAACCTTGTCTTCCTGCAGCTAATGTCTCAATACATTTGATTTGCAGTGTCAATTTACCTGGTTCATCCTCTGGCTGTTCAAATCCATTGCAACTGGATTCCAATCATCTAGTCACTGCCACAAGTGAGTCCAAATTGAGCTCCCGCTTTCCTTTCTTCCAGTCTCTGATGGAAAACAAGCCTTGGGAATGTGGAATTCGGTGTTCTTCGAAATGTTCACTCTACATTTTTAACTCATCTTTTCTGTTAACATCTTGAAAGACTCCCTCACTGGTGCACCCACTTTGAATAGAAACAAGGCATTCACTGTGCTCTGCATCACCCTCACCCCATCCAAAAATAGACTGTGACTGTCAGTGAACACTCCAACTCCACCAGCCAGGCTTTCCATTTCACACTGATGGTGGTGGCATCACCTGATAGATCAGAGATAGTAGGAACTGCTGATGCTGGAGAATCTGCGATAACAAGGTGTAGAGCTGGATGAACACAGCGGGCCAAGCAGCATCAGAGGAACAGGAAGGCTGACGTTTTGGGTCTAGACCCTTCTTCAGAAATGGGGGAGGGGAAGGGGATTCTGAAATAAATTGGGAGAGAGGGGGAGGCGGATAGAAGCTGGATAAAGGAGAAGATAACTGGAGAGGAGACAGACAAGTCAAAGATGTGGGGTTGGAGCCAGTAAAGGTGAGTGTAGGTGGGGAGCTAGGGAGGAGATATGTCGGTCCATGGAGGACGGACAGGTCAAGGAGGTGGGGATGAGGCTGGTGGGTAGGAGGTGGGGGTGGGGCTTGAGGTGGGAGGAGGGGATAGGTGGGAGGAAGAACAGGTTAGGGAGGTGGGTACGAGCTGGGCTGGTTTTGGGATGCGGGAGATTTTGAAGCTTGTGAAGTCCACATTGATACCATTGGGCTGCAGGGTTCCCAAGCGGAATATGAGTTGCTGTTCCTGCAACCTTCGGGTAGCATCGTTGTGGTACTGCAGGAGGCCCAGGATGGACATGTCGTCTGAGGAATGGGAGGGGGAGTTGAAATGGTTTGCGACTGGGAGGTGCAGTTGTTTGTTGTGAACCGAGCGTAGGTGTTCCACAAAGCGGTCCCCAAGCCTCCGCTTGGCTTCCCCGATGTAGAGGAGGCTACAGCGGATAGATCAAGCAGCTCAATTCCCCAGACAACAGACAGATCAGTTCCAGCAAATGCCATGACACAATAGGGAAACATTGACGAAGTGGTAATGTTACTGGATAAGTAACCCAGAACTCATGTTAATAATCCAGGGATTTGGGCATGAATCCCATCATGAATTCAATTTAAATAAAGTCTCCAATTTGAAAGATAGCCTAGCGGTGACCATCATTGAAAACCCAAGTCATGCACTTTCCGGAGGAACCCTGCCATCTTTTCTTGTAACTCTTAGAATCCCTACAGTGTGGAAACAGGCCCTTCGGCCCAACAAGTTCACACTGACCCTCAGAGCATCCTAGCCAGACCCATCCCCCTATTACCCACCAAATCTACACATCCCTGAACATTATGGGCAATTTAGCATGGCCAATCCACCCAGCCTGCGCATCTTTGGACTGTGGGAGGAAACCAGAGCTCCCGGAGGAAACCCACACAGACACGGGGAGAATGTGCAAACTCCACACAGACAGTTGCCTAAGGGTGGAATCGAACCCGGGCCCCTGGTGCTGTGAGGCAGCAGTGCTAACCACTGAGCCACCTCTAGATCCACTGACTGACTCTTAACTGCCATCTGGTCAATTAGGGATGGGCAATAGATTCTGGCCTACCACCAGTGCCCACATCCTGTGAAAAAATAAAAAAAATTCTATTTATCTCCATCACAGGCTTTTTTAAATTCATTCACTGGATGAGGGTGTTGCTGGCTGGGCAGCATTTGTTGCCCACCCCTAATTGCCCAGAGGGCAGTTCAGAGTTAACCACATTGCTGTGGGCCTGGACTCACATGTAGACCAGACCAGGTAAGGATGGCAGTTTCCTTACCTAAAGGACATTAGTGAACCAGGTGGGTTTTTCCTGACAATTGATTCACAGTCATCATTAAATTCTTAATTTCAGATATTTTTATTTAATTCAAATTCTGCCATGGTGGGATTCAAACCCAGGTCCCCAGAACATTACCTGGGTCTCTGGATTAACAGTCCAGCAATAATACCACTAGGCCATCGCCTCCCCATCACCGAACAAACAACATGGGAAGTTACAAATGTAATTATCCGACACATCATTTTATCATTCACATGGGCTGACTCCTAGACACGTGCTTATCTGACCTTCTCCTCCCAGGTTACATGACCCCATACATGGTACAGACTACTTGACAGCTCCTTATCCAACTACTGTAGAGAATCTTGAGTCCACACACACAATTAGCTATCATCATGACACTTGCCAGTTCTGTCAAATGACACTTGCTCACCAAAAAACCTGCTCACCAACACTGAGTTTGGATTCTGTTGACACAAGCAGCTACGGACTCATAGTAGACTTTTTCCAAATGAATCAAAGAGCTGAATTTCAGAGGTGTAATGGGAATTACTGTCCTTGTCATCAAAACAGAACTTGAATGAGTGTGGTATTAAGAAGCCCGAGAAAAATTGTAACCAATACGTATCAGGCGAGAATTCATCTCTGGTTAGAATGATGCCTAGCACAAAAGATGATTAGTTATGGTTGTTGTAAGTGAATCATTGTAGTCCCAGGGTATCTCGGCAGGAGTTCCTTAGAGTAATGTCCTGGCCCAAACATCATCAGTGACCTTCCCTGCATCATAATGGCAGAACTGGAGATATTCACTGATGATCACAGTGTTGAGTAGCATTTGCAACAATAGAGTCTAATCACCTCTTCCTGACATTCAACATCATTACAATTGTCAAATGCGAAGTCCTCAACATCCTGGGGTCATCATTGACCAGAAAAAATAATTGGGCATAAGCTGCAGAAGTGCTATGATTACAAGGACATATCAGAGGCTGTGTATTATGTAGAGCTACTCAACTCCTGACTCCCCAGAGTCTTACCTTATTATCCACAAAGAACAGACAGGGGTATGGTGACGTTTATACACTTGCCCAGATAAACACAACTGCAAAAACAGTCAAAGCTTGACACCATCCAGAATAAAGCAGTTTGCCAGATTAATACCCTGCCCACCACTGGTAAACAGTGCTACCATTTACAAAATGTGCAACAGAAACACATCAAGACTTCTTTAGCAGAATCTTACAGGTTCTTAACCCATATCATTTAGAAAAACAAATGCAGTAGGTCCATGGCTACACATCTGCAAGATGCACACTGTCCTGACTTGAAAATGTGTTGTACTTCCTCCGTGGTTGTTGGACCAAAATCCTGAAACTTATTCCTTTCACCACTGAATGAGTTTCTAACACTAATGGACTCCAGCAATTCAAGAGACAGTTCTTGCCATCTTATCAAGGTGAATACATATTAGCCTTGCCCTTGACACCAGACTCCTAAGAATGAATGAAAGAAAAATTCTAATAAAAAATCTGAATCCACCACTTATGCCATGTAGATTTCACACAAGAAACTTGTTTTTAATTCCTGGGGTAAGGATATATGTTATTAGCTTGTTATTCCTAATGTACACACACATTACTGCTGATCTAAAATAACACATTATGTTACCCTAATAAAGAAACAGAAAATGCTGGAAAATCTCAAAGTCTGGTAGCATCTGTAGAGAGAAACAGAGTTAAAGTTTCAGGTTGATGAACTTCCATCTATTTTAAAAAATCATCAGCCTTAAACGTTCAAGCTGTTTCTCTCTCCAAAAGCACCTGCTGAGTATTTTCAGCATGTTCTGTTCTTCTTCAGCTTTCAGGTATCTGCAGTATTTTGCTTCTGTAATCTCTGATTTTACAAGTTGAGACTCAAGATCAGCTCATGACCTGGATTCTTTATAATTGTGAACTTGAGCTGAACACTGCAATGAGAAGCAATTCAGAATTTTCAATTATCTTTGAATTCTGCCCTCTTACTAGCCATGTCATTGTGAATATTTATCTTGCAAACAAAACCACACCTGTTCTGCAACAAATTTTCTGCTGATAGAGCAGTCAGATCAAAGATGAAGTGGCAGGATTT